GTAAACCTGCAGCAGCCACAGGTTGTGATCATGCTCCTGCGTGCAGCAGGGCTGTGGTTGGAGCTGTCCCGGGGATCACTCACCCCAGCACACCTCAGGGCTGCGCCCCTTGGGAGCAGCTCTGGCTGCAGCTTTGCCCCATGGGCTGGCTCGGGCCGGGCTGGTGCCAGCCATGGGGCTGACATCCCTCACTCTGTTCCCCACAGGGTTCTGGTTGTCCCTGAAGATGCTGTGGGGAGACCTGAACCAGGTGCGCAAGGACCACCCGCACCTCGTGGACCGCAGCACGGTGGTGGCACGCAAGCTGGGCTTCCCAGAGGTCATCATGCCAGGCAAGCAGGGAGCAGCACCGTCCTGCTCCATCCTGCAGTGCATCACTGATTCAGGAGATGGGCACAGCAGCAGTGCTCTGCAGGGGTATGGGGAGGGTGGTGGGCATGAGCCTGGTGCATGTGTTGGTGCCGACCTCAAGGCAAGGCAGGGGAGGGTGGGCTGGCAGTGCTGGCTGCAGTGGGACCCGGCTCACTGAGTGCACTGCTTCTAGGGGATGTACGGAACGACATCTACCTGACACTGGTGCAGGGAGAGTTCGACAAGGGGAACAAGAAGACACAGAAGAACGTGGAGGTGTTGGTGTGCGTCTGCGATGAGTCGGGCAGTGTGGTGCAGGTATGGTGAGCAGTGACTGCCCCACGCGTCCCTGAGCAGGAGCAGGAGCAGGGGCGGGGGCAGCAGCTCTGTGCCTGGAACAGCCCTGCTGGCAAAGTGGTGCTCCTGAGGTTGTCCTTCAGCATAAAGTCTTGGGAAGGTGATTGGAAGGGACAGACCCAGCCTCTTCCACCTCCGTGCGCCCGCTGCCTCGTCTCTTTTCCAGAGTGTTTGCTTTCATTGCAAACTGTTATTATCTGGCCTGTGGGAACAGGTTGTTAATTAGCGAGGCGCCTGCTGGGCTTCTGCGGAGATGCAGTCCCCATCTCTTTCTGCCTGTGACAATGAATTTCCCGTGGGGAGGTGGAATTCCAGCCCTGAGCACTACTGGAGGCGCGTGTGTCCCTTCCCACTGCCTCTGGGAGGCTGCGGCAGCGCTGGCTGTGGCAGATGGGGACGGGGCAGTGTGTGGCTGGGAAGGGATGCTCCAAAGCATGTCCCCACACTGCCTGGGCTGTGTGGGAGCAAGGCAGCTGTGGGGGTTCTGGACCTGTCTGGTGCTGTCTGTGCTGGGTTAGCAGGGGTTTGCCTTTGGCATCCTTTGATCTGTAAGTCATGAGAGGCTTGCTGGGAGCTGACCACAAACATCTCTCTGCAGAATGTGATTTACCACGGGGCGGGAGACAAGCCGGCCAGTGAGTACCGCTCCGTGGTGTACTACCAGCAGCGGCACCAGCGGTGGATGGAGACGGTGAAGGTCTGTGCTGGTCCACATCAAAGCGTGGGGTCTGGACGTGGCAGCTCACAGCCCCACACGAAGCAGGGGGTCAGGACTGGGTGAGTTGCCCAGCCCTTTCCCTGCTGCGCTCATGTGGGTTCTTCTCCCTCAGATTGCAGTTCCCATTGAGGATGTCCACAAGACCCACCTGCGGTTCACCTTCAGGCACCGCTCCTCCAGTGACAGTAAGCACTGCTCTGTGCACTGCTCTGCTCGTGGGCCCGCTGGGCTGTGGTGGAGGGGCTCTGGCTGTGTCTGGGGTTCACAGGCAGGAGCCACACAAGCAGCCTTTGTCCTGTTGTGCTGTGGGGATGCACCAGGGCTGCTGTGAGACCTGGAAGAAGCGAGCTGCTGTCCCTGGTTTGCTCTGTCCCAGCTGTCATGCAGAGATACAGACCTCGAGATGTCTCTGCCTCTGTACAGCAGCTCCTGGGCTCCGTGCTGACACTGCCTGGGTCTCGTGGCCATGGGCTGCAGGGAGCAGAGGGGCTGCTGTCAGCTGCTTTGCAGAGCTGAGGATCAGGAGGATGGCCGTGAGATGGTGCGGCTCTGTGCACCTTCCTGTGGGCTAACAGGAGTGGGAGCAACCCACAGCTGTAGTGCTGGGCACGATGGGGGCCTGGCATGTCCCAGCTGCAGGGAGGGTGCCCGGGGTAGTTGGCATGACCCTATCTGCCCTGAACCCATAGGCATGCAGTCCCCACCTCCTCTCTGCTCTCCCATTTTTGGTTCTCTCCCTCCCTCTCACTCTCATACAGTTGCTGCAGCTGCATGTGTCAGTGCATCTCGTAGTGCTCAGGTGGAAGGCAGCGATGGCCTCAGCACAGCCCTGCACGGCTGCACCCACCCTTCCCCTGCGCTGCCTCCACCTCCCTCTGTGCCCTTTTCTCTCCCAGCTAAAGACAAAAGCGAGAAGATTTTCTCCATGGCCTTTGTGAAGCTGATGCGCCCTGATGGCACCACGCTACGTGATGGGGAGCACGACCTCATCCTGTACAAGGTAGGGCAGAGCGGGCTGTGCCGGCCCCGGACAGTGCCCACAGCCACGTGCGCAGGGTCCCCATCCCCATCTCCTCCTGTCCTCGTGGGCCCCACCACGGCTCTCTGCACACATCATTTCTAACCCCGCTGTGCGCGTCAGCCGTGCCAAGTTTTGTTTAGGAAAAGGAACTTCAATGTGTCAGCCCCAGCAGGGAGTGTCCTCATGGAGGGATTTGCTGCGTTTTACCTGATTTCACCGGGGTTTGTCGGCTTAAAACCGCTGGGTCTGTTTTTCTTCTGAGAGCACAGAGGAAACGCGAGGAGAGAAGGCTCGCTGTTGGTTAGGAGAGGCACAGCTGGCTGACGCAGGCAGCTGGTGCTCTGCTGTGCTGTGATGGGAGCTGAGTCTGTCACGGCCATGGGGAGCAGTGGGGCTGCGCCCTGGGCTCCTGCCCTGTGCACCCCGATACCACTGCAGGAGGTGATTCCATACCTCAGCCCCAGCATTTAGCTGAAGTTTTCTGTGGTCTTACTGCTATTCCTGGAGGTCACTGCCACCACTCTGGGCAGACCCAATTCCCCACACAGGTCCCCGTGGGTTGGGGACACTCAGCTGCCATCGCTGTGCAGCCACATCCAGACTTCCCCTTTGCTGTCTGCACCACTGAGGGGTTCCTCCTCTCTGTTCTCACATCCCTGTCCTTTCCCATGAGCCGCCCCGGTGCCTCAGCGCTCCTCCTGTGCAGCGGTGTCCCAGCAGCACCACCCAACACCCCCGTGGCACAGCTGTGCAGCGTCCCGACACTGCTGTCACTGCCCACGTCTGCACATCACTGCCCGTCTGCCTGTGCAGCCCCGACCTGTCCTCCCACCCATCCCCTGTGGGCCAGCCCACCCCGAGCCGTGTGCTCCCTGCCCAGCGCTGCCCTTCTCGCTGCTCATTCATCATTTTGCTGATTCCTGACCTCCCTGCAGCGAGCTGCGGTACCGACAGAGAGTTGTGCTTTTCTTCCCCAGAAGAAAAATGCATTTAAGATCTGTTATCTCATCCTTCCTCTGCACACTATTTGGGCAGAGCACCCGAATTCGTTATGTGCTCATGCAGCCACGCTCTCCTGGGGGCTGCCCTGTGCCACATCCCCACGAACAGGAGCACCTCCTGCCTTCAGGGCGTCCTGGAGCAGACAAAGCCTTGCACATCTCCCCGCTGTGTGCACTTTCTGCTTTTCAAAGAGTTGCTGCTGCCCTCGCTGACCCCGCTGCGTTCAGCAGATCCGCAGCCTCTGTGCAGTGCTGGTGTGCTCTGTGCTGCCCTCCCAGTCCTGCAGCTTTCTGCTCCTCCCAGCAAGCACCGGGGCCGGGAGAAGATATTTCATCTTTATCTTTGTTTGCCAGAGGAGCGTGAACTCCATCCTCACAGCTCTTCAGACCTCTTCATCTCGTGCTGGAGGGACGTGTGTGTGTTTGAGCCCCCCACCCCCTCGGGGCTGTGCTGCCCTCGGCCTGCAGCTGGGCGCAGGGCTTACAGCCCAAGGGGAAAAGCAAACCAACAACTCTGCCATCTTTGACCTTCAGAAGAAGAGAAGTTTGCTGGGCAGGGTGGCAGTTGGGGTAAAGACAAATGCTCATTGCTGAGCTCAGAGCTCTGGGCAGCAGTGGTCTGTGGGACTCCGTTGTCCCCCTGGGTTGGTGACACTGCTGGCCCGTGTCCTTAGTGAGTCATGGTGACAGCAGCAGTTCCTCAGCCTGTCCCACCCGTGCAGGGACCTTGCTGTGTGCCCACCCTCGTGGTGCAACTTGTGCATACAACTCTTCCATTGCTCGCTGCTGCTCCAGCCCTGCAGCCTCACTGCTGCCCTCTCCCTGAACTGCTGCCATCTCTCCATGCTCTCCCACCTGCGTTTTGCCCCCCATCTGCACCAGCTGGAACGCAGCCTCCTCTCCCTGCACGCAGGTCCCCACGGAGCTCTATGGGAAGCAGCTTTGCGAGCTGCTCTGTGCACGTTAAGCTCAGAGGAGCCCTCGGAGCGCTGAGTCTGGGTTGCAGCGATGCCTCAGAGCCAGAAGCTGCTGACCTCTGGCTCCCTGCCCTGGGGACACCCGCTCACCTGCAGCTCTGCTTGTTCCCGTGCCCTGCAGCCGCCCCACACCTGCCACGCTCGCTCCCCAGCTGTATGCATGTCTGTGAGCTGTGCTGTGTTGCAGGGGGACAGCAGGAAGCTGGAGGACGCGGGCTCGTACCTGGGGCTGCCCTCCACCAGGAGCTCCCCGGAGCCCCGGGTCCTCTCTGGGTCCTCGTTCCGTGTGGGTGGGAGCGTGGCAGGCCTGGCTGTGTCAGCCCGGGACAGCTTCCAGATCTCAACGCTCGTCTGCTCCACAAAGCTGACCCAGAATGGTGAGTGCTGGATGGGGTGCGTTGCTGGATGGGGTGTGTTGCTGGCTGTGCTGCTGGCAGTGGGCACTGATGAATGATGCGCACTGTAATGCTTGAAAATAAGAAACCTCTTTAAGAGCAAATTCTATAGGAATGGCAGCAGTGAGCACCCCAGGTCGTTGCACCAGGTGTTGAGCAGGCGGTGCTTTGTTCCTGAGCTCTGATGGGTCAGCGGTGCCAGGGGATGGGACGGGACGTGGCTGTGCCCCACAGCCCAGCTGTGTGTCCCTGTGCTGAGCACGTTGGTCCCTGTGCACTTACCCTGCCAGCCCTGGCCACCCCCATCTGTCCCTTCCCACCTGTGCCCCACAGCAATGCTGTCCTGGGGAGGGAGTCTGTCTGGCTCTGCTGCCTGTGCTGACTGTGTGTCCTCAGGGGCAGGGAGCAGGACCAGGCCTGCTCTCCTTCCCAAAGAGATGGAATAAATACAGCTTGCACGCCTCTATCCGCAGGGGCTGGTTAGGAAGGGGGCTGCTGTTATCCCCTTGTTACGAGGGAGCAGAGCTGCAGAGTGATTTACAGCCAGGACAGGGGGAGTGCTGGAGCCCTGGGGGTGGCTGGGGCTGCGTGCAGCAGGATGCTCACCGCTGTCACCAGTGGCTGAGGGGATGCTGCAGAGCCAAGAGTGTGGGGAAAGCAGAAGTGCTGAGCACTGACATCCTGCTTTGACATCAAAGTGCTCCTGAGGGAAATGGCAGTCCCTGAGCTGCTGCAGTGTCCCAGGCTCCCACGGCTCTGGGGCTGCTGTCCCCCAGGTGGGCAGTGCACACAGCGGCCGCATCTCACCCTGTGGCTGCCATCCCCACCACGTGGCACCGCTCACTGCTGTCTCTGTGCGCTGCTGAAGGCTCAGGGCTGCCACTCAGTGTTGCTCGCTTTGTTTTTATCAAGGTTGTCTTTTGGCTTATCGCCCTCCTGAGCCCTCCTGAGTTAGCAGTGGATTGCTTTTCCAAGGCAGGGCAGTGTGAGCAGAGAGCTGCAGGCTGCAGGTAGCTGCACGCACCGTGCTGAGCCGAGCCCTGCCGGCAGCCACAGGCAGCGAGCAGCTTCTTGGCCTGCACAAAGCCCTGCAGATGGTAATTAATCTGCTCACACCCCTGAGGGAGCCGAGCTGCTGCCTTCAGTTTAGGAGCTGGAAGGAGCTGCTGAGTGCTGCTGCCGAATGCCGTGCAACCTCCTCTGAAATCATGATGGGAATTGGGACGCCGTGTTTTGAAGCGCGATCTGTTGCTGCGTAGTTGGAGCTTTCAGCCCCGAGGTCCTTTGCTCAGTGCGCTGAAGTCAGGCAGCAGTGTGTGCGCCCTCTGAGCGCAGACACGTCAGCATTTAGAGAGGATTTCTGACTCGTGCAAAATGGTTTGGGACGCAGCAGCACAGATCGGTGCGGGCAGCCGTGACTGAATGCTGGCATTTATGCAAACGGCTCCACGTGTGCATCTGAAGCAAACAGAGCCCAGCTGGCAGCGCAGGGTGTGCGCCCTGACGGCTCAAAGAGCCGCACTGTGCCCTCACCAGGGCTCACTTCGGGGGCTGTGCAGTGTGTGTGCAACTGAGGAGCAGCCAGGGCTGTGCTCGGTGCCCTGTGATGGTGTCAGTGCTCTGTGCCATGTCACCGCATGTGTCAGCAGCAGGAGCAGCAGCCCGTCCCTCCCCAGGGGACGCAGACACACAGACGTGGGTTAAAGCTGTGCGGGAGCGTTGGCAGCAGTTGGGCTCTGTGTGCACTCGGTCCATGCAGAGGAGCTGCACCGCTGCTTTGCTCCCACACTGCAGAGCCTCCTGTGCAGGGCTGGCAGCTGGGAGCGCTCAGCTCTGTGTGTGCTGCACTCAGTGACACAGTTGGGGACACCGCAGTGGGGCTCCCAGTGCTTGGGGTGCACAGCACAGCACACAGTGACTCAGTGCTGCTGCACCGATTGGGTTTGGGGCCGGTATGGCTCAGTGCAAGTGGGGTTTGGGGCTGCCGCAGTTCAGCTCATTCTCTTCCTGCAGTGCAAGTACAGCTCCTGTAGCACTCACCCTTCAGTCAGTGGAGTGTTATGTTTCCGTGGGAGTGAAAGCAGGAGGTTTCTGTGCTCAGCAGCCCCTGCACTCAGAGCTGCACGCTGCACATGTGGCAGCTGCAGCCATGCTCTCACCACTGCAGCGCGCTGAGCTACAATGGTGCTGCTGGCCCCGTGAGCTGCGTGGTGTTGGATTGGTGCTTTACATACCTGCAGCACCAGGGCTGGCTGAGGGCTTGCATGTAATGTACCCACAGCCCCCCTGGGGGTCTGGACCCCCCCCTCATACAGAGAAGTCGGAGGCAGCCGCACACTTCCCCTTTTGCTCTGGGTTCATGCTGTGCAGAAGTTGGGTGCAGGGTGCAGGCTCTGGAAGGGCTGTGGGGCCCCCACCCATCCTGTGTCTGAGCCTGGGGGGGCAAAGTGCCCAAAGGGATGCTGGCACAGGTGGCCCAGCTGCACAGCACAAACGGGGCAGGGTTAGGGCTGGCATTAGGGTTAGGATTAGGGCTGATGTTTGGATTAGAGTTAGGGCTAGGGTTAGGGGTAGGATGAGCAGGGTGGCTGCTCTGTCCCCCTGCATCCTTTGGCACAGTGCACAGTGTTTGGTGCAGGCACAGCTGGCCCCAGCCAACGGCTCTCCATGTCCTTGGGGTGCACGAGGAGCTGCATCTCGTCCCTTGCAGGGCACTGCCTGGGGCAGAACGGTGCCTGGGGTCCCTGATGTGGAGCCTGGGTGTGCACAAAGCCTGTGCTGATCTTTCCTACCTCCCTGCAGTGAACTTGCTGGGGCTGCTGAAGTGGCGGGCCAAGCCCAGCCTGCTGGCGGGGAACCTGCAGAAGCTGATGCATGTGGATGGAGGGGAGGTCATCAAGGTAGGAGAGGGGCTGCTGGCACACAGTGGGCAGCTGGCAGGTCCTGGAAATGGGCCGGACATCCCTGAAGGAGAAAAGCTGTGAAGGGACAGCAGCAGCTCTGTGAAGGGACAGCAGCAGCTCTGTTCTGGAGGTCCCTCCTTCTCACAGCGCTGGCAGTGCTGGAGCTCTCACTGCCGCCTCCTCCCCGCAGTTCCTCCAGGACACGTTGGATGCTTTGTTCTCCATCATGATGGAGAATGCGGACACTGACGTCTATGACACGCTCATCTTCGATGCCCTGGTAAGCGGGATCAACCATGGGCGTGCTGCCCACCTTGCGCCCGAGTCCCTCCCCGTGTCTGTGCGCTGGCTCCTGGCAATGCCCCGTGCTGAGCCACGCGGCCTCTCCGCAGGTGTTCATCGTGGGGCTGGTCGCTGACAGGAAGTTCCAGCACTTCAATGCCGTCCTGGAGGCGTACATCCGCCAGCACTTCAGTGCCACGCTCGCCTACAAGTGCGTGTGGAGCACCGGGGCTGCAGCGGGGACGGGGCGGCAGGAGCCGCAGCGGGGCTCAGCAGCGGGCAGCGCGGTGAGGAAGCGCCGTGCTCTCCTGACGCGTCCCCATCCCGCAGGAAGTTGATCGGGGTGCTGACACAGTACGTGGAGCAGGCGAGCCGGGGGGAGCCCTGCGAGCCCCTCCTGCGCACCTTCAAGGCCCTGGAGTACGTCTTCAAGTTCATCGTCCGCTCCCGGCACCTCTTTGCCCAGTAAGTGCCACGCGTGTGGGGACGGCGCTGGGAGGAGCCGAGAGGGTCCCGCCGGGTCTCTGTGCGCTGTGGGCGCACGGCAGGAGCCGGGGAGGCCGAGGGTGGAACCCACGCCTCCGGGTGCTGCCGTGTCCGACTGACCTCGGCTGCGCTCCGCAGCGTCTCCTCCCGCGGAGCTTTTGCCCGTTCTCTGCCACGTGCGGGGCTTCCCCCGCTGCTGCTGGTGCGGGGGTCGGCAGCGTGTTTGTGCCCGGGGAGGGGAAGGCCGAGGGGCGGTGCTGCGGGAGGACGTGCGCTCACGAAGCCCGCTCCCCCCGGTGCTGCGGCCCCGCTCTGCCCTGCGGTGCTGCGTGCGGCTCCCGCTGCGACGGCCTCGGGAAATAACATCTCCTCTCGTGTGCGTAAATCACAGCATCGTGTAAAGTAGGGCCAGAAGGGACACGCAGAGGTCAGAAGTAAACTCCTGCCCCAGGGCGGCGTTGGCTGCGCTTCCGCCGCTCCTGACAGATGGCTTTTGTCAATGCGCTCTTACAAACCTCCCTGCTGCAGACAGCGATGCTCCCCGGGCAGCCGGCGCATCTGAGGGCCTGGCAGCCCAGCACACAAACCCTGCCCGCCCCGGGAGCTGGAGGGCGGCCCTCGATGTCCTCATCCCGGCAGCTCGACCCCTCTGCAAAGTGCGGCTCTGTGCCGGCAGCGCGAGGGGCTGTGCGGCTCCACGCCTCGCGGTGCCGCTGGGGAGAAGTGCGAAGTGCGCGCAAAGTGGGGGCGTCCAGGGCTGTCCAGGACCCGGTGTCCTTTGTACCCTGTGGGCGCTGGGTTCCCATTCTCGCCCCTTGGATTGTGGTGGGACAGACAGCACCCCCAGCCTGCCGTGTCTGCGGGGGCACAGATGTCAGTGGTGGAAACTTCTGAGAACGCTGCCAAGCAGTTACCAGAAGGGCAGGTTATGTTCCTGTTTCATTCCTGGTATGGGGCACTGGAAACTGAGCCGCCCCAGCAGCAAGCAGAGGTGATGTGCCCTATGCAGAGCAGTGCTGGAGGTGGGGAGCGCCGTGCTGAGCTGCTGTGCTGGAGGGGCTGCAGGTGGAGGTGGATGCAGGTGGAGGTGGATGCAGCCCCATGGCTCCATCAGACAGAGGAACCCACCGCTTATTTTGGGTGGAAGGAGAGGGCAAATCCCCAGCTCATAAGGCTTCTGGCAAAGCAAATTAATTCTATGAGCATTTGCAGACAGCTGTATGAATTAGTTAGCATTAGAATAAAGACATCCCCAAAGACATGTAGTTTTTATTCATCTTTCCTTTATCTTTGAGATCTTAACAGTGGAATAACATAGGCTCTTCAGATCTCCCAAATTCTTTAAACGGTGCTAAATTCTGTACACAGCCTGTAATTGGAAGAAATTAGATTGTAATTACAACGAGTTACTGCAGATTGCTGGATCTGTTTGGTGACGTCTGCTGCAGCCAGAACCAGGCAGTGGCCCTGCTCTGCTGGTGGGAGCCGTGGTGGCACTGCTGGGCTCCTGGTGAGATGCTCTGAGCCCATGGGTCAGAGATGGACCCCAGGGCACGGCCGCCTGCATCTGCAGCATGGTGCCCAAAGGTGCTACCTCAGCCCATTGGGACGTGAAATGACTGCTTTGTTGTGCTCTGGTTTGAGCTGTGGCACACATATAAGGTCAGAATGCAGTGCTGATAATTCCTCTCAAGCTATTCATGCAGTGCATTGTATTCATCTCTGCCCTTCTGGAATTTTGTGGGCCAGAGTTTGTGGTGGAGATCAGCTTGAAAATTGATGGCTGTGGGGGGGCATTAAAAAGGGACTACATGAAAAATTGGATTAATCTCCAATTAATGATGCTCATTTCATGACATCGTTCCTGTGATAGCGGAGCCATGTAAGGCCTTCATTTCATCCTGCTGATCCTAAGGCACACGGGCTGCTCTCATTCCCTGGCCTCATCTCTGGGTTTGGGCTGAGCACAGCTCCATGGTGCAGCTTTGGGGTCCTGAGAGGGCAGCGGTGCTGGGAGCCCCACACCCAATGGCTGCATATGAAGTGGGAGGGGGGAACTTCTTCAGTTCATCCCAGCTGTGGTTGCATTGCAGTGTTGACCAAGGGCTGCACACAGCAATTATTCAGTGGACACAATGTTTAAGATCAACCGAGATGCCTCAGCCAAGTCATCAGGGTTATTTCCCTTGTATGTTCCCTTGGGCTCATTTACCAGAAAGGAAAGATGAATCTGAAAGTGGAACAACCCAATCACAACTTCAAAAAGCAAAGAAGCAACATTTTGGCAAAAAGCAGGTTCAGCCAAAAAGCTGGGGAGCAGGAATTGCAATCCAGGCCACTCTGCTGCTGTGTGGGGTCAGAACGCTGGCTGCAAGTCGTGGAATCATAGAAGCACAGAAGGGTTTGGGATGGAAGGGACCCTCATAAACCCATGGAAGAGTTTCTGTTGGAAAGGACCCTTAAAGGCCATTTGGTCCCACTCCCTGCAGTGAGCAGGGACTTCCACAGCTTCATCAGTGCTCAGAGCCCCGTCCCCTGACCTTGGGGGCCTGCAGGGATGGGGCACCACCACCCGTCTGGGCAACCAGTGCCCTAACAGCCTCATGTTTCCAGCTGAGGTGGGAGAAGGTGGTGGAGTCCCCATCCCTGGGGCTGTTCGGAAGGATGGAGTTGGGGCCCTTGGGGACAGTGGCAGTGGTGGTGGCACAGGGTAACCTTTGGCTTTTGCAGGCTCTACGAGGGGAAGGAGACGGCTGAGTTTCAGCGCTCGCTGCAGCGGCTCTTCCAGACCCTAAACCAGCTGATGAAATCCCCTCTGGAGGGGCCCACGCTGCTCTCCCAGGTATGGCAGGGGGCTCCAGCTCTGGTCCAGGTGATGGGGTGAGGTGGGATGGATGGATGGATGGATGGATGGATGGGCAGACAGGCAGTGCGCCCAGCTGGGTGCGTGGTGCTGCAGCCAGGGTGAGCTGGAGCTCCCACCTGCAGACCTGCTCCTGGCTGGGACAGCACAGCCTCTCTCTTTGTTTCACTGCTGTCTCTATGCTGATTCTGTGGTTTCTGTGTTGCACTGCTTCGGGGCATTCTTAGGTAAGGCCATACAGATTAACTCATGTTTTAAAGCACACAGTTTGAGGATTGATAACGAAAGCAGTCTGTGAGGAAGGGGGCTGTCCCTCCTCATCTTCTCACCTCATCCCAATGCGGCTCTCTCCCCTCGTTCCCACTGCAGTCTGTTGCCCCATAGATGCTCTGTGCTACAGAACCCCACTCCCTGCAATTTTACAGCTCACCTGAGTGATTTGTGCATCACTCAGCGCTCTGAGTCGGGCCTGAAGGAAACACATTTTGCAAACACATCAGCGTGGAGCGGCACCGTCCGGACACGACATCCCCACAGCTGAGCTCCTGCTCAGGTCGGGAATAGCGGCGATGAGGACAGCAGAACGCAGGAGCTGAGCGGTGCAGCGATCTGCCCGCAGCCGGGTTTAAAGAGCGCACGGTCCGGGGCTGCGAGCGGGGACATCGTTGCGGCTCCGCCCGAGGGGGCTGAGCTGAGCGGCAAGACGATGCGCTGCGTGGCTGCGGGTGAATCCCGGCAGCGCTTCTCAGTGCTTCTCAGCCTCAGCGCGGCCGTTTTTCTGCGTTGGGCGCGCAGTTGGTGCGGGCCGCGCTCCGGCGGCGGCACCGGGGCTGGTGACGGCGCTATGGCAACGCGCCCGTCAGGCGCAGCTCACCCCAAGTTGGGAGCGATTCTTAGGGGAGCTCACCTGAGCTTATTTCTGCACGAGGACATTTCTGACGCTGGCTGGCTCTGGCCCGGGGCACAGCGCGCTGTTTGGCATCAGAGCCCCATCGCTGCCCCGAGCCCGGCCCGGCCCGGAGCGCATCCCCGCGTGTGCAGCTCCAAGGGAAGAACCTCGGCATCCCTCTGTGTGGATGCAGCCGCTGCTCAGAGCTCCCTCCCCACCTGAAGGACCCCCCCCACCCATCACCGCCGGCGGTGCCCGCGGGATCTGCCGGCGGCTGACGCAGCTCTGCCTACTCCTGTCGTTAGAGCTGCAATTATCTGATCAGCACAGGCAGGGCTGATAATAACTCGTTAGCTGCAGCACTCCCGGGAAGGCCACCTCCTCCGTGAAGGGAGCGCTCCTTTGTTGGACTACTGCAGGCTTTGGGGTTTTGCACTATTTTGACTGCTCTGTGCCACGGGAAGGAGCCTCGTTTGGGTCTGACGAGGAGTGCTGGGCAGGATGGGATCAGGGACAAACCTGTGTGCTGCTGGGACGGGGAGCAGTCAGGATCCCCTGGTACCCCCACCAGTGCTGGGCTGGTCCTGTTCCCAGAGCCCTCCTCTACTCTGCACCTAAGGCAGCTGAGGTTTGAGGTAGGACGGAGCTGCAGACTGTGGGCATGGACAGATCCCCATGGCACACAGCCCCCTCCCCACAGCCATGCCTCATTGCTGTCCCCATGGCACACAGACCCAGCCACAGCCATGCCTCTTGGACAGGACTCTCTGACCACTGATTGTGGTTCCACCACAGAGGGTGCAATAAATGCAGAATTAAGGAGTGGCAGAAAAATTAATGTTAATCAGCCCAGCTTGGCTAAGCATGGAGGTTAATAAAGAAATCAAACGTAGGGGATGCTTTTTCTGAAGCTGTGAATGTGACTGAATGAGATAACCAAGACAGTGCGTGAGACAAGCAGCGGTTCAGCTTTGTACAGTATTCTGGTTTAAAATTAGAGTTGTATGAATGCATTAAAATAACTGCTTTTTAATCTTTTTAATATATATCTTCTCAGTAGAGAAAGGGGAAAAAAGCAATTAGGGATGGAGAGGCATCCTGCAGGGATTTCTTTGGGTCAGAGCTCTGAGTGCTGCTGGCCCAAGCAGTGCTGCTGCTGCTGGGAGCATCTTTGGGGCCATTGGAAACAATGGCTGCTGCTGAAAAGAGACACAGGTGCCATCACAGTGATTTTGGGTGCAGGGTGTGGGCAGTATAGTGGTTACCGCCCTGTCTATTTGATGTCTGTCTGTCCGTCCCTCTGTCCATCCACCGTGCCCATGGGCACATGGTCAGCAGCCTCATCTCTGTGCAGGGAGCAGCCCTCAAGTATCTGCCTTCCATCCTGGAGGATGTTTTTGGGATCTTCGATGCCTCTATGCTGGGGTAAGTGTCCCGGCCCCAGCCCCACTCCACCTGCAGTGATACCCACCCCAGCTGCCCCCAGGGTGGGCAGTGCCTCCTCAGGCCCTTCCCATGCAGACGTGGGGATTTGGCTCAGTCTTGGCAGGGCTCAGTGGGGGGCAGGGCAGTGCTCTCCCATTGTCTTCTCCAAAGGAAAGGGGCAGCAGTGCTTGGGGCTGCAGAACAGCCAGGCCTTGTCCTGGCCTTGGCCGGGTCCTGAAGCTTGATGGTTGGTGCTCATTAATTCCCCTATCTGCCTGGCAGGGTCCTGCTGCGGGACTTCATCGGCAACCTGCAGCCCCAGCGCCTGCTGAGGCAGAAGCTGCAGTCCCTGACCGACATCGTCAACAGCAAAATCTTCCAGTCCTATGGTGAGGGCAGTGTGGGTTCCTGCAGCACAGCCTGGCCCACGCTGCTGAGCGCAGCACAGGGATGTGTCCCCCCACCTGCTCCCCCACTTTGCTCCAGCTGTGCTGGGTTGTGTCTGCAGGATGTGAAGTCCCAGAGCTGCTGCCAAAAGCCACACGTTGCCAATGCCTGGTGCTGTGGTACTGAGCTCCAAGAACGGCTTTAAAACACATTGTGTTGCAGAAGGAAATTGGGCTTAGAGGGAGAAAAGGGGTGTCGAGAGGTGGCAGCAATGATTTTCAGGGTGAGGATGGTGGTGGTTTGCTGTGCAATGGGAAGGATGCTGTGTGTGGTTGGAGAAAGCCCTTTAGACCATCGAATCCAACCACCCAACCACTGACATTCTTAATATAGGTGGTGAAAAAGGAGCAGGCTTGTTAAGTTTTGCCTGCAAGGAGGAAGGGGCTGCCGGAACGTGGCTGTGAGGTTATCTCAATAGCTGAGCAGTGCCATGCAGAGGCAGCGCTGGCTGAGCCCTGGCAACCAGGGGCTGTTTGAGTGAGAAAGTCTCCATCTGTTGAGTTAAACCCAAAGCACCCTTAGCAGAGAAGCGGTGCAGAGTCTCGGAGCCTTTCCATTAGGATTTAAAGTCTTTCCAGAACTCCAGGCTGCAGCCCAGATGCCTTGCGCTCCCTCTGTGCTCTCAGTCCCTCTCAGTGTGGGGAGCTGTGGGTGCCCACTGCCAGCCCCACACCTCCACCTGCCCCACAGAGTGCCGAGACCTGCTGCTGCGCATGGCCGTGCCCGTCCTGCAGGACCTGATAGAGAGGGGCGAGGAGGAGGACGCCTGCGTTGAGCTGCTCAGCACCATCCTGGAGGTGCTGTACACGGCCCAGAAGGTACCACCCAGCTGCTCTGCTGCTCCCTGCTCTCTGTGTTGGCTTCACCTTGGAAATACGTCTGGCTGCTGGTTCATTGCTGGGGTGGCTGTGGTGGGACAGTGCCGTCCTTGCAGGCATTGCACTGATTTCCAGTGCTCTGTTTGTTGCAGAGAGCAGAGGAGGACCGGCACAGGGAGCGTGGTGACTCGGAGCTGGTGAGTGCTGGCCCTCGGGTCTGCAGGGGGAATTTGGGCACACAAATGCTGGGGAGAGTGTCGTGCACCTCCTGCCCAGCACAGGACTGGGGCCGTCACCTGGGGTCGGTGCACAGAGCTGTGCTGCTGCGGGGATGGAGGAGCCTCCTGCAGCAGTGACTGATGGGCAGGGGGCTGCAGGCTGTGCTGTGAGCCCTTACAGCCCACACCCAGCTGTCTGTGTGTACGAGGACGGTGCTCTCTCAGCAGTGCTCTGTGCCTTGGCCTGTTTTCCACGAGGTTTTCATCACTTCTCACCTCTGATTTCCCTCAATGAAGCACTGCGGGTGAGGTGTTGCTCTCTTGACCCATGGGACTGACTGAGACACTTGCTGCTGCTCAGGACTCTGCCTGCCCAGACAGCCCTATAGCTGCTCCATGAGACCGTAGCATCCAAACAGTCCCCAAATCTGCTATGGTGGGTGATGAGGGCAGACCCCCACACACACCTCCAGCAGTGTCTGCACTGGGACCCACGGTGCTGTGAGTGTGCTCTGCGCCCTGCTTGGCTGCCCCTGCTGCTGGGCACTGGCTGTGGTACAAGGCAGCCAGGCTGTGCACTGGGGCAGCTTTGGGGCTCGGGATGCTGCAGCCACAAAACCTCGGCAGGTTCAGCTCAGCTGCAGCGCCAGGTTGATGCCTTGGGTGCAGCCGTGGCCGTGCCACAGTGGCTGTGCCCTGTCCTATTGCTAAACACCACCCCACAGCCCCTGTTGGGCCATGTCCTCTGCCACCCTGCAAGCCCTTGGGGTGTCCTGGCAGCTCCCGGTGCAGCTGTTCCTGCAACAGTTTAGGAGAGCACAGAGAGCTGTGCTTCGGCTCCGCAGGACACTGCCTCTACCTGCTTTCCTATGCTGGCAGCTGTGCCTGTGCCATACCCTGGGCTGTGTCTGGGTGCCCTCCAGGTGTCGGTGACCCCCCTCAATGTGTCCCATGATGGAGCAGTGTGTCACTTTTGGAAAGCTGACCTCAGGCACACAGCAGAAGCAGTGTGAAACACCCTGCAGCACTTTGCTGCACTGCTTTCTTGTGGGCATCTCTGAGATTTGAGTAAGATTTCCTACAGGAGATCTCATCAGTACATCTCTGCATTGGGAACAAAGTGCTCTTATGCTCTTATGGCATCCACCTGGGGCTGCCAGGGGCCAGCATGTGCCTCGCTTGGAGGACAGGGACAGAAGGCAGCAGGCAGCAAGGGGACACTGAGTCCAAGACAAAAGCAAAAGCTGCAGCGGGTGTGGGCTGCACTCCTGATGTAGCTGGAGTGGGACTGAAGTTGGGTGGAAGGGATCGTGGCTGCCACCGACTGCACTGCACTGCATCCCTGTGTGGGGACGGGCACAGCCAGGTGCAAAAAGAAATGTGCATGCTGAGGATGCAAGTGCATTCTGAGAGGCTGCTGAAGGGATGAGGTCCTTCCTTTCACATGGGATCTGCTCTGCACAGGGCCAGTTGGGATTTCTGCACTCCAGGGTCTCAGTGTGTAGCATGCAGTTGGAGCAGTGGGGATTTTCAGCTGCTGAGCAGAAGTTTTGGGAAGGATGAATGGATGAAGGACTGAGAGGAGCCAGCCGGCACAGGAGACACAGGCTGCACACAAGGGAGCAGCCAGGGAAGTCTCATAGAATCACAGAATGACCTGGGCTGCAAAGGCCCACAGTGCTCATCTCATTCCAACCCCCTGCTGTGTGCAGGTTGCCAACCAGCAGCCCAGGCTGCCCAGAGCCACATCCAGCCTGGCCTTGAATGCCTGCAGGGATGGGGCATCCACAGCCTCCTTGGGCAACCTGTTCCAGTGCCTCAGCTGAAGGTGCCCCAGTTCTGCCCCTTCCCAGCTCTCTGTGGGCACCGTGTGGCAGCCACGGGTGTCAGAGCTGCAGCTCAGGAGCACGGAGACACAGCCTGGGTTGAATGTGTGCTCCTTGCCCTGGGCTGTGCTGTGCCCCATGGTGAGTTCGGGGTCCCTGCTGACACTGCCAGTGCCACCAAGCCTGACATTTCCTGAGGGTCGCTCTGTGTTACACATCCCAGCCACCTCGCAGGAGCCAGGGCTGCCCAGCAGCACCGCAGAGCCCTGCTGAGTGTGGGGACGATTCCTCCTGTGCCCACATGAAGAAAAAGCCCTGCTAACTCTACAGCTTCCAGCAGGGCGCTGCGGCAGAGCAGGAACCCGTGCTGGGGCTGCTCCCCGTGCGAGCAGCTTCTGCTCATTGGGCTGCGGTTGCCTTTGCTCCCAGGGGCCGGGGTGCTGCGTGTGGCACAAGGGGTGCCCCGGCTGCCTCGGGGTCACCTGGGGAGATGCGCATCGCCCGCACCCCACCCCACCCACTGTGGCCGTGACACCCCGTGCCTTGCAGGTGAAGGTGAAGAGGCACGTCCAGCTGATCCTGGAGCGGCTGCTGCACACCGTCAACCGGAGGGTGATCGTCCTGGAGAGGGACAACAGCCTCAGGGTGAGTTACCACCGCCTGCGCCGCGCGTGGGACCGCTCCGCTTCCACTGGGGATGAGGGAGTGAGGGAGGGACTGCGTGGTGTGGGGATGGGGAGCAGGTGGCGAATGTTCCTTGGCGGTGCCGTGGTGTCTGACGGCAGCTGCTGGGGATGGGTTTGTGGGTATTTAACGCAGCAGGATGCACGAGGAAGCCCAAAAAAGGAAGGAGGAAATGCGGCAGAAGCAGGTCGCGGAGTAGGGAGAGCGCTGGGAGGAGCACGCAGGGTGCTTGTGATGCAGGAGGCTCGTTGGAAGCAGATGCGGGGGTTTGGGCTGTATTCTCCGGAAAACAGTGATCGGACCCAACAAACGTTCCTCATTTTACACATGGGAGGAGCGTGCTGGGATGCTCACCTCGTGCTGAGCTGTTGGCAGGCTGCAGCACGGCTGAGGCTCTGCGCAGAGCAGCTGCACCGGGTGCAGTGGTTTCATCATGCAGGAGGAGGAAATGTGCTCTGTGCAAGTGTGGCCAACCAGGCCGTGTGGAGCAGGCCAGGCATGTGGCTCTGGGCTGTGTGGGGCAAAGGGATGGGTCTGGTGGCATTTGGGGTGCAGTGCTGTGGGGAACTGCCATGCTGTGTCATACCGTGCCGTGTCGTGCCATGCCGTGCCGTGCCATGCACCGTGCCCAGGGAGGTTTTCTGGGGCAAACCTGTAGTTCTGCCATCCCGTGCTTGGCTCTCATTCATAAATACGTAGCTAAACCAAGGTGCTATGGGCAGGATGGGACCTTCCTTCTCACTGGCCACGCTGCTGCTACTGGCAGAGGAGTGCTGGCATGCTGCTTCAGGAGCTATTCCAGACAGCATCTCTGTGCTCATGGAGTGGCCCCATTGCTGAGATGGTGGAGGGTGCTGTCGCTCCTATATATCTGGCTGCAAGTAGCTCTGTGCTGGGCTGTATTGGGGTGTGCTGGACTGTGCCAGACTGTGCTGGACTGTGCTGGGGCTGTGTTGGGCTGTATAAGGCTGTGCCAGACTGTGCCAGCAGTTGCTGGTTGTGATTCAGGTGGATTCAGGCAGGCGATGCGTGCCGGGTTGGGTTTGGTATCATCTCGCTTTTAGCCTTTGTTCTCAGAATGCATGATTCAGTGCCAGAGGAAGTGAGAGCAAAAAAAGAGCTGTTTGAAGCTACCTACGGGGCTGTGACAGAGATAACGAGCAGCGCTGGCTGCCGGAGCACGGCCTGATGCGCAACGCAAGGAGATGGAGAGCAGAGCTTTGGCTGAGCCTCACTTTCTCTGTGCGATCCTCTTCCCCCGCTCTGGCCCTGCTGTGCTCCAGAAATGCTGTCTGGCAGCTTTCTCACCTTAGTTCATCCCTTTCATGGTGCTGTCACAGTCCCAGGCTTTCACCCCACTGCTTGCAGCCCCCAGCCCGAGCTGCTGCTGCTGCTGACCGCTCTGATCCAGAGCCATCGTTACATCGATGCTGAGTTGCTCCTTTTGCAGGTTGGAATATTTGAGCTGCTGAATTCTGCCCCCATGTAATCAGCTGGTGCATCCTTCAGTGGGGGCCTGGCCAGACACAGAGCAGGAGGGGGTCAGCTCCTGCCCTGAGCTGTGCAGGGAGGGGAAGCTCCATCCCATGCAGCTGCAGGGACGGCCAGGATGCACGGTGACCCCAGTACACAATGGCCTCAGTGGACAGAAAGCAGCTCGGGGAGGGGAGGTGGTCTCACACTGCATCAGGAGAGGCTCAGGTTGGATCTTAGGAATAATTTCTCCTCCTGCAGAGCAGTTGGGTACCAGCATGGGCTGCCAAGGGAGTGGGGGTCACCATCCCCAGAGGTGTTCAGAACCACAGAGATGTGGCACTGGGGGACACGGTCAGTGGGCACAGTGGGGTGGGGCCGGGCATCTTGGAGAGCTTCTCCAACCCCGGCGACTGATTCTATGAGAGCTGCAGCACTCCTGGGTCCCAGTCTGCCCGCGCCGGAGCTCCTCTCTCCTGCCCTTCTCCACCCTGGCAATGGGCGCAGGGCTCTCATAGTGCTCCCACTGTACAGTGGGGTCTCCCAGGACCTGCTGGAGCCACGGGGCTGCTTGTGGCCAGGATGGGATCCCAGCACCGATGTGGAGCTGAGGGCAGCTTCAGCTGCATCCAGAACAGAAGCGCACAGCCAGGAGAGGGTGTAACAAAAATAGCGTCTCCCTGGAATTTATTGGTTTCTCCATCAATACAGCCGCTGCTCCCACCCCCCTCTTATTTACACGGGTTCTTCAGTATGTTAAACGGAACGGTTAAAAATATAAAAGCTGGTGCTACCCAAACCCTAACGTCAGAGGGAGGGAGAGGAGGCAGGAGCCGGTGTCAGTGCTGGGGCTCACAGGAACCAGAAGCACTTGCGCCGGGATTTCTTGGCGTCCAGCTTCGCAGGGGGTGAAGGCTCCCGCCGGGCGGGGGGGACGGGTCCCGGTGTGGGGCTGCTGTGTGCTGCGTCGCCCTCCATGTGGCTCAGCACCCGCTGGAAGCGGCCCTCCTGCTGCCGAAAGTCGTGCTCCACGCTGCGGGGAGAAGGGGCGGCGTCACGGCGCTGCGGCGGGGGCTCAGCTCAGCCTGCAGCCGCTGCCCCCCACTGCCTGCATGCAGCGCGGCTGTGAGTGGGGTGGGGGCCGGACCCGGGGCCGGGGGGCGGCTATCATATCGTATAGAATCATATCCTGCCCACACATGGCAGCGCGCTGCACCCAGAGCACATAGGGACCCTCAGTTTGGAGGGACAGACAGACAGCCCTGACCCAATGGCGCTCCCCCCTTCATTCCTAGCGTCGAAGCTGCTCTCGGAGCTGCCCTGCTTTTCCCCCGGCTGTGGCTCCCTGTCCTTTTCCTACTGTTCCATCCCCTCACCCAAGCTCCATTGCCTTAAACACCAAATACACCAAATCCCTCCTGCAGAGCTGAGCCGCTGCATGGATCCTCCCCGAGTGCCCGGAGCTCATCCGCTGCACCCTGGGCTGGTGGCATTTTGGCACCGGGTAGTTTGGTTTTGTGCAGCGGGGGTTGAGTCCCAGAGGTAGGAGTGCAGCAGCACAGAGCTGAGGGGCGATGCTGTGCCCGTTCCAGGAGGGGAAAGGGCTGGCCGTGTGCCCCGGGGGTCGCTGGGGGTCTGCTGCAGTAGAACGCTCTGAGTATTGACCTGGCCGGGGTGGGAGCCAGGCCCCTGCCCTAGCTGGGGAACAGCGGGATGCAGTGCAGGAGCTGGGATCTTTGAGACCCCTGAAAGTCCCTGGAAAGGGGCTGTGCAAAGCCCTGCGGTTACAGACCCCCACTGCCCTCGCGTCCCTGAGCACGGTGCAGCCACAGCACAAGGAGCCGGGGTGAGAGTCTGAAACCAATCCTGATGCAAGGCACGGGGACATCGTTGGTCCGGGTAGGGAAGGAGGGGCCGCATCACCCACCAGCACCACCAGCTCTCCTGCACGTCCCCGGAGCCCCCCGCTGTCCCCGCAGCAGGCAGGGCACGGGAGGCCACGTGCTGCGGTGCTCCCTCACCCGGAAAGCACTTCCATCTCCGAGCAGCCACCTCCCATCAGATCAGCGAGGTGCTGCTGCCGACACCGCACGTGGCTCTGACAGCCGTGCAGCACCCCGTGTCACCACGCATCACGAGGGCAGCGTTATCCCCAGCTACTTCTAACAGAAAGGGTGAGCTCGGACAGACGGCCGAGTGCCGGGCAGCACGGGGAGCCGCTCACGGCGCAGCCGCTGCCCCTGCAGCCCCTTCCCGCTGTGCTCTCTGACCACCCGTCCCCGTTCTGCCCCCCCGACCGCCGCCGTCCCCCACAGCCGCGTGCACCCCTCGCACAGCAGCCGGCACAGCCCCGTGGAGCTGCCCCCGTCTCGCCGCCCCCCGCTCCGCTCCCACCGTGTCCCACCGGAGCCTTTCCCGTCACGTGGAGGCAGCGGAGCCCGGCGGGAGCCCTGAGCAGGACCCACCTCCCCAGCAGTGCCATCTCTCCCAGCCGCAGTGCCGCATGGAGACAGCCTCGTCAGACCCAATTAGCGCTGACGGCCCCCACGAGCCATCGCGGGGAGTCGGCTCTGGGCTCGGGTGGCAACGAGCCGCCGACGAGAGGCAGCCCCAGCAGGGCCCGGTTGTGCGAGGGGACGGAGCGCGGGGGGGGCGCGGAGCTGGGGCACCTCCTGCCCCGATGCGCCCGAGAAGCGCGCGCCCTCCGCCCATGGCGCTGCTCAGGGCCGGCTCTGCGCGCATCACCGCTAACAGCGAGCACAGGAGCCGGCGGGGCTCCTGGATCACCCTGCACTGGGACAGCGTGGGGGCCCTGCTGGCACTGTACCACTGTGCTGCGCCCCGTCCTCGGGCTCAGGGAGGCATTTCTGCTATGAACAGGGAGCACGGCGCCGAGCGACGGGGGAGGAAGCGTGTGCAGGAACGTCCCCAGGGCGGCAGCGCTGCCCCGTACCTGTAGATGATGCAGGCGCAGTCCCGGCACGTCCCGCAGTTGGCGATGTCCTGCCCCGTCCGGTACGAGTGCCGCCTGCAATAGAGCAGCAGTGCAGTGAGCCAGAGATCCGGACCCAGGGCCCTCCTCTGCACCGGCACCGCGGCCAGGGGCCAGGGATGCAGCTCTGCTCCCAGCCCCGCTCCCCGATCCCAGCTCTTCCCCCCTCCTCCCCATGCAGTGCCCTTTGGAGCCGTGCTGAGCGCGATGAGCACATTTCTCACTCGGTCGCTAACCAGACGAGCACGGCAGAAGCCCCAGATTCTTTGCATGCCATCAGCCTCGTCTCATCACCACCCCAGAGCCGCACCTCGTGCCCAGGGCACGACACCCCAGACACGGCACGATGGGGGGAGTGGATCACGGGCTGTGTGGGGTCTGTGCAGGAGCACTGCAGCGCCCAGTGGTGCCCAACAGATGGGCAGAGGGAGAGGTGCCAGCCTAATCACCAGCCTACGCTGGATTTATCTTTTTTTTTTTTTTTTGATGTTTTTGTACCAAATCATCCTCCTCCTCCAGGGAAGGTGCATGGCACTGAAATAAAGCAGAGCTGGCTGATGAGCCCCAAAGGTCAGCTCAGCCCCAGAGCCATCCTCCTCCCAGATCTCTGCAGATCCTCTGCTGGTGCTGAGCGCTCGCCCCATGCGGCCCCACGCAGCACCAGGCTGATGGTTGCTGTCAGAGCTCAGAGCTCCATGGGCAGCGCCTCGGGCACTGTGGGGAAAGTGCCCCAATAAAAGCGTTTGGGCCCCCAGCAGATGCCCTCTCCCCATCTCTCCTGGCCCTCAGGCAGCCAAGAAAACACCCCCTGTCCCACAAACCTGTCACATTTCCCTGCTTAAACTATTTCCCTGTTTCTTGACCTTGATCACGGTTGTTCTCAGCTCGCAGAAACTGGGTCTTGTAGTGTACCAAATTACACCTTACAATTGGGATTATGCTGGCACATAAATTAGATCATGATACCTTTTATATACATACATTAAAAGCACATAAATATGTGTGTGCACACCCAGTGCTGTATAAGTGGCACTGTGGGGGAAGTGGGGATGCTGTGGGACACTGTGGGGCTGGTGGCACCTCCAGTGTGTGCAGCCTTAGGGCCACCCCACAGCTGTGACACCAGCAACGGGGCTGGGCTGTTCCACAGAGGAAGGACACTGGGATCACCCTTTATGGGATTTCCTACTCCTCTCCTTATATCTCTGGGCTTCTTGTTTGCTCATTTGCCTGTGGCAGTCTATGGAGCTGAGATCTTAATTAAGCTGCCCACGGTGAAGCTCCATCAGCTTCAGCAGGCAAACTCATCCCGGCAGCAGGAGTGCAGCAGCCCTTCCGATGGGCTCTGCTCTGCACTTCACAGCCAGGCATGGCACTGCATGGCTGAGGGCAGTGATGGCAGGGAGTTGCACTGTGGAGGGGGGCACTGCCAGCCCACGTCCTGTGCACATCACACAGGGCAGTGGACCCTCAGCAGCCCTGAAAGGTGAGGGCCAGGTGGATGCTGTGCTGGAGAAGGGGCTCAGCACCATGCCCTGCTTCTGTGCTTACTAATGCTTCTGTGGGATCCTCCATTAGCCCTGCCTGGAAGGAGGCACTTAGCAGCAGTTTAATTTGGTTAAACAATTAAGCATGCGCTCAGGCAGGAGGGCCAAGACTCAAGCAGGTGCCCATCTGGTAGGGCAGAGCTCACCACGGGTGCCACCCGAGCACGGTGCCAGACACAACGTGTGAGTGGTGCTGTGCGCACACCCGGCTCAGCGCCTGCAGCACCAACAGCTCTGCCAGTGTGAGGACAAACTAACAAGCTGCCAAGCTAATGAGCTGCCCCATCACAGTGCCCCAGGCTGTTCCCACACAGTGTGGCTGCAATGCCACCTGCAGCTGGCGCGGGTGGTGGTCCCCATCAGCACCGTCACCACTGCTCTCGGGCCACATTAGACACAGGCAGTTCATTGACCAGTCATGTGTGCCAAACCCTGCCCAGCCCCACCGACCCTGCCAAGTCCTGCCCAACCATGACAAACCCTGCCCAACCATGACAAATCATGCCAACTCCTTCCAAGCCCTGCCAAACCGTGACCCCTGGGCAGTCCTCCCAGCATAGGTGCCCATGCAAAGGCTCTGCTTCACTGATAGCTGAGCCAGGGAAATTCTCACAGGCCATTAAAGGGGACATCCTGAGCCATGGCCAGGGCAAACCAGACGGGCTGTGGGGCCTCTCCTATGGTGCACACATGGCAGCTCAGGGACCGACCCCTGGATACAGCCCTACGCTTCCCATGGTGAGAGCAGGCATGAGGAGCAGTGCATGCCTCGTGCAGGAGGGCAGGCACAGCAGGGGCTGTGCACAGGACATCTGCAGCAGCAGAGCCCATAGCTGGAGCACACAGTTCCAGGTCTCTGCTCTCACTGACCGATGGGCACAGCAGAACCAAGGGGGTCCCTGCTCCCCTCGTCCCCTGGCTGGCACAGGAGGAACAAGCCAAGGGTTGGCAGGCCACTACCCCAAGTCACTGTGCCAAGCAGATCAGGATGGCAGCTCTGAGCTGCTTGGAGGGAAGCATGTCCGGAAGGTGACATGGCTCCCACCCTTGGCGTGGCCACCCCTGTCCATCACCAGACCCCCATAGAGCCAAAACCCCCCTGGATGCCGCCCCATCTACTCACCCGTCCCGCTGGGCCTCCTTCTTCTCCAGGTCCTGGATGACGTCCAGCAACACGCGGATGGTTTGCTGGCTGGTCTCCAGCACTCCTTCCAGGGACTGCAGCTGGGACTGCAGGTCCCCCTGTGCCCCCTGTCCCTGAGATGTGTGGCCATGCTCATCCCCCGCCGTGGCTCCCGGCGTCCCCTTGGCTGCCACCACCATCTGCAGCAGGTCCTGCACGTGGCGTAGCGTCTCCGATTGCTGGGTGCTGAGGCAGGGCTGCCCATGCTGGGGGGGCTCCGGCGTGCGCCCACCGGGCTGCACCACTGTGCTGACGCCGTGTGGGGGTCCCTTGTGCCTCTCCGGAGCTGCCTGCTCGTGGCCGGGCTCGGCAGCCCGCAGCTGGCTACAGATATCCTGCGTGTCCGGATGGCCGGGTGCAGCTGGTGTGGTCTCCAGTGCAGCGGTGGCAGAGCTGTGCCAGCCCGGCGCTGGGGTGCAGCAGGGCCTCCCCCAGGGCGAGCCGCAGAGCCGGTGCCGGGGTGGCGAGGGGTCGCGGGGGGGGTTGCCCTGAGCTGGCTGGTGGAGGAGGGGCGGCTGGCGGTGCCCGCGGGGCAGGCTGTGCTCCGAGTCGCTGCGGCCGAGCACCCACAGCTCAGAGGAAGGCTGAGACTGGGCGCAGGGCACGGAGGCCGGACGTTGCGGGGGCCCCCGCCCACCTCTGGGGGTCCCGCCGGGCCGGGCGCAGGGCTCGGCGGAGCAGCTCCTGGCCGAGGGGGTGCAGCTGGCAGCGGGGCACCCGGCCGTGCCCGGGTGTGGGGGGCGGGGATCCCTGGGCGGTGGCGGCGGCACGCGGCACGCTGCGGGGTGCGGGGCGAGGGAGGGGGCGCGCTCGGCTGCGGGCGTCTGCGGGGGAACGGCCCGCGTCGAGGCGGTGGGCGCAGCTCCCCCCGGGCAGCGGGCGCTCCCCAGGGCGGCGAGCAGCCCCGTGTCCACGGCCACATCGCAGACGCTCCTGCTGTGGGGCCGAGGGGCCGGGAAGGGCTTCTGCAGGCTGGGGGAGGTTTGGATGGCAGCGCTGGCGCACGACTTCCCGGGCATGGGCAGCGTCAGCGAGCACGGCTGGGCCTGGGGCCAGCTGCGCCGCGAGGCACAGAGAGCCGCCGGCTCAGGGGGGGCCCTGGGGGGCGGCGAGGCACGTGGGGTGTTGGGGCCGGGGGCGGGCGCTGGGGGGGAGCTGCCCTCCACCAGGTCCTTGAAGCGCACCTGCTGCGTGCGGTTGCGCCGGCGCTGCAGGCGGCTCTCGATGTCGGGCGAGTCGCGGTTGAGCAGCACCGAGCGCACCGTCATGGCTTTCTCCTGGCCGCCCTCGCCGGAGGGCACGGGATCCCGGCTGAGCATGGCTCACAGCCCCGCCGCCGCGGCCCCTGCGCCGTGCCCGTCCCCGGAGCTGCCCGGGGCGGCGGGCGGCCTCATCCCGCACCGCCGCGCAGAGGGGATGCCGCGCAGGAGGCGGGCGCGGGGCTGCAGGGCATGCTGCCCACCTCCCGCACCTACAGCCTCCGGCACGCGGGCGGCCCGAGCGCCCTGCCCAGCATCGTGCCTCCCCGCTGGCAGCCCATGATCCCGCCGACGTCCGCTGCGCTCAGAGCTCTCTGCGCTGAGCTCCGCGGAGCTCCGGATGCCGTCCGGCCCCGTGCATGGCTCCCGGCTCCCTGACCTGCGGGGACAGAGAGAGGCGGGTGACCCGGCCCTGCCCCCACCGTTCCTGTAGTCCGGGATGTCTCCCGCTGCCCCGCGGAGCTCCCGGCCCCCGTGCATCCTCCCGCCCTCCATCCCGCGTGGCCATCACCAAACGCAAAGAGACAAGCTTTGATCTCTGGCACTGCCTCCTCAGCACAAAGGGAGAAGGGAAAAAAAGAAACCCCTTTAGCATAAACACGTTACAAGTTCACAGCTCAAATCAAGCAGAAGCAGCCGTTAAAAATAGCTCTGCCTTGCTGGGACTCGGTACCTCGTGTTTGGAGGGTGTGGGGAGCACAGCGGGATGGGACAGGCACAGCAGGATGGGACGGGCACAGCCCTGGGGCACGGGGAGCTCAGACGTGGGGACGGGTGGACTCCATCCCTATCCTGCCATCAATGGCACACAGATATGCATGGCTCCCCTCCCCGAGCAGGGAGGGCACAGCTCCTTCCCAGCCCCGCCCCAGCTGTGCCCCCACACCAGCACTGAGCCCCCGCACCCATCCGGCTCTCCTGCCCATACTAATTACCCACCACTGCCTGGCCCGTTGCCCTGCTGGGGCACACAGCGCCCCGTGGCACCATGCAGTGCCTGCATTCTGCACCTGGCACCCACCCGCCACAGCCAGCAGAGCCCTGAGCCCCACAGAGGCCCACAGGGACGGTTGCTTTGCCCTGCAGCCCTCCTGCCTTCCTGCACTTTCGTGCCTGGTTCTCACTGTACCAGAGCAGCTGTCTCAGCACTGTGGCCCAGAGTCCCTGTGTGCCGGTCATGAGCTGATGGTGCCGGCTTCCATGCCTGTCCTGGGACCCAGCAGGAGCTCAGTGAGCACCCAGCTGTGCCAAAGCAGTGCAGGTGCCACACACTGCACATCTCTGCACCTCTCACTGCTGCCCCTCGCCCAGTGCTGTCAGGATGCTGCTCCATGCACCGCTGCCTCCCAGCTGTGCCAGCACCGGAGGTGTTTGTGAGGCAGGAGGTGATGGGGCATCTTGTTGGTATGGACAGGCTGAGCTGGGGAGTGGGATCACTGCCACATGGGGCTGGTGTGTGGCAGGGAGGAGCGGACCCGTGCCCACCGCTGGTCTGGGTGGCTGACCGGGATGGGGCAGACCTGCTGGGACCACAGGACCCGCTCCAGCCCCACGGTGTAGGAGTGGTGTCCAGCGACAGCCGTGCTGGTGCACTGCCACTGAGTGCATCTCCTGTATGGACACGTGGGCACATCCCTGTGCTGCACTGACCTCCTGCCCGCGGGCCGGCTCCAGCACAGCCCGGGGAGCGCCCCCAGAGAACGGAGTGCCAGGAGGCTGTCAGGAACTCCCACAGCCCAGCACAGGGCGAGAGCACCGTGGACACGACCCGGGCACTGTGGGCACACATGGCCCTGCAAACCCACGGTGTGGGCCACAGAACAACCCCAGCACGCTCCACTGCCCACGCAGCCAACGCGGTGCTGTCAGTCAGCAGCGCTCTGCCGAGGCACCCTGCGCCTCCGAACCGAGCACCGCTGGAGATCTGAGGCACGGCACAAGGACAAAGAGAAAGCCAATAAATTATACATGCGCTGACTGCATTTGGAGAACAGTTCTGAGGCTGTCAGACACCAAAAGCTTGGACCCTCCCGCTCGTCCTTCTGCATATGCATTACGGTACGGCCAGGTTTAGTGCTGTGCTCAGGCGCTGCTCCTGGCACTCCTGCATCTCCCACTGCTAATAATGAATCCTGATGGGGGCTGAACCAGGACCACGCGACCAAGCACTGCTGCATCTCATGCACCCCCTGTACCAGAGCTGAATATGAAGGAAACATCTCTGCTGACAGATCCAGCTGGAAGCACAGCTCCAGGGACATTTTGGATGCGGAGAAAAGGCCACTGGGAGAGGCTGTGCAGGAAGCACAGGCACCCAGCGCTCAGCACATCGGGGCTCTCCAGCTGCTCTCTTCCAGCATGTTTGCAGAGAGGTGGTGCTCAGGCCCACGCACACCGATGCACTGTATCCCACCCACCTTCCTGTGCCCACAGCTCCTGCACCAAGGCACCCTATGAAAGACCAGAGCTCCCAGACTGAGGGCACAGGAGAAGAAGTGTCCCTTGTTAATGTCACCCTCCCCAGAGCAAGGCACAGATGGCTCTGCTCCTTGCTGAACAACACGGTGAAGCCTTTCTGGGGTCCTAAAACCACAGCAGCCCCTTCGGGGATGAGCCCAGGGCTGCAGCTGTTCCAGGTGTTCCTCTCTGCAGGAGGATGGCCAGGACCACGGGAATGGGCAGATGGGAGGGGACAGCTGAAGGATGAGAGTTGCACGATGGCTGAGCTGTCCTCAGGCACCCTGTGCCTGCAGCCCTCCAACAGTCCCTGCTCCAGAGCAAGCCTGGGGGCTGCTCACGCCATCATCCCAACCTCATGCCCAGCACACACAGACACACTGGTGTTAAACCCTCGGGCTGCACAGTGCCCAAGGCCGCAGCAGGAGGCAGAGAGGACTGAGCCATCCCAGTGCCCTGCTTCTGTCCGTGCACTGTAGGCACGGTGCACGAGGGGCTGGGAGTCCCTGTGCCCAGCTGTGCCAGCAGAGCCGTGTTGAGGAGGGCAGGCTGGCTCTGCCCACCCTGCCTGCTTGTCCAACCAGACCAACGTGCACAAACGTGGAGCAACCACTCCTGGAGGTGAGGCACCACCAGAGCCACGGGCACCGCTGTGCAGTGGAGCAACCCAGCAGGGAAGCCTCAGTGCCACAGTGCCTTCTCCTCTCCCAGATCCGCGTGTGATGGTGGCATCCAGACCTCAGGAGAGCTGTGGGACGATGCACTGGAGGCGGAGGGGCGCAGGGACCACCAGCACAGCACCACCGAGGGCAGCAGTGGGACGAGCTCAGAGCCTGAGTAACAACAGCTGAAGGACAGCAGCGCACACCAGCCGTGCCAGCCTGCACGGGGCTCTGGGAAACACAGCTCATCAAACCCATTTGCTGTCTGTTTTGATGAGATTCCCCGTTTGGTCAACGAAGGTAAAAGCCTTCTTAGATCTCTGTAAGGCATTTGACATTTTCATGGAGAAACCAAAAAGATATGAAAGCAATGTGCCACGCATTAAATGGATTAAAGCCAGGCCAACCAGCATGTCTCAAGACATAACCATCCAGCACCCAGCACCAAAGAGCCGTGCTGCTGGCCAGGTCCTGCAGAGGGGCATTGAGCCCCGCAGTAATGCTGGAGTCAGTGACCTCAAAGAGGAAAAGCCAGCACTGGCAGTATTTGTGGATGATGTGGAGACTGAGAGAAGGATAAGGAATGAGAATGACAAATACGGTGTCATGTGGGCATCAAGGAAAGAGCACTGCAAGAAAGCAGTCTCAGCGGTGGGAAGCGGCTCTGCTCTGCAGCCACGCAGATAAGCGCAACAGAACAGTGCCTGAGAGCCAGAGGTCATCGCTTCCAGATGGGGAAGGGCCTTCCTGAAAGGTGAGGCCATCGGTGCCAGAGCAACTTGGACAAGATTCAGGTGGTGATGGATGCTCTCCTGACAATTATTTAAGGTCTGAGTGTTTTCCTCCTCTTGTTCAATTACAAGCAGTAGATCATATCAAGTGATTTATGGACAAAATCAGATGACGCCACCATAATGCAGTAAATGACAGGAGCACCTCAGCGTGGGCTCTCTGGCTGCACAGGATGCTCGGGGCAGTGGAGATGGGTGTCCCATGGGCTGATTGGCACCTGGAGCCATGGAGGCATTGGGGTCCCCATCTCCTGGCCACCGCCACCACCACCAAACTGCAGTGCTGGATCCCACCCTGCAGTCACAGTGCCCAGCACACCGTGGATCCCTGCTGCCTGATGCCACCCCGCCCGGCACACTGTGGGTCCCAGCTCTAGGCTCCTCGGACAGGACACCAAGGACAGGACACCCTGCCAGCCCTGCTGGGGGCCCTTCTGCACCCATCCTCCACCTCCTCCTCCTGGCGACGTCTGTGGAAGAAGGAAAACCAGAGCAGACACATAAATCTTCTCCTCAAGACGCAGGAAGCCAGGAGATTAGATTTATGAGAGAGGAAATCATCTACTTCTGGAGCTGCAGAGGAGAGCAGCTAATTACCCGCCCCTACTACGGGGTGCGATGGCTCCTCCTGGGACAGAGCCTTTGCTGCCCCTGAGCTCAGACATGGCATGAAGTGCTGTGGCAGTGGGAGGCAGCGGGGTGAGGTGTGTGCTCACAGCCGATGGCCGGGCAGCAGCCAGGTGCACAGCGCAGCAGTCAGCAGCAGGACTTCATCCCAACTTGGCTCCAAGAGGACTTGGTGTGTTTGTGCTCAGCATGGAGCATCCACGGGGCTCGAGGGTGGATGACGGCGCGTTGGTCAGCAATGCCAGCACGCAGCTCCTCACAGAGGCAGTGCCAGCACGAAGCCAGCACGTGCCCTGCCCTCACAGCTGCTCTTGGAGGCCCTTCCATCACCCCATGTTTGGAGGCGTGCAGACCTCCTGGTTTCCTGCAGGCACCTCATCACGGCCACTTTATCTCCCCCATCTGTGCCTGGGCCAGTGCTGTGCCTTCTCTCGAGCAGCTCTGCTCCCCCTCAGCACAGAGCCCTCGTGTGCCACATCCCACCGCTCTGTGCTGGTGGTTCCCAGGTCCCAGCAGCACCCGTCGCTCCCATTGCCCCATACCTGCAGCGTTCACAGCACCGCCTGACACAGTGCTCCTGCAGCTCCGTGGCCCAACCAAAACCCTGTCAGTCTGAGGATGGCCGCAGAGCGCTGTGATGGAGCCATGCACACTGACAGCCAACGCCATGCGGGTGCTGTGGAGGAGCCCCACCAGCACAGCAGCCCCTTTTTGGCTGCAGGTGCCTGGTGGAAGTGGCAGCTCGCATGAGCCGAGTGATCTGCGTGCATCCATCTTTATTTAGGTCACTGGCTGAAGGGCCCTGCAGGAAAATGAGTCACATCCCAGCCCCGGGGCCGGGAGAAGGCAGGTGCTCCCTGTGCCCCAATGCCAACTGCAGGGTCCTGCAGCCTGTGCCCAGAGATGGGAATCCAACGACCACGGAAGAGGCAACGATGTCCTCCCGGCACCTCTTGTCATCGCACCATCACATCCTTTCTTTCAACCTCATGTGCATGGGTGCAGTTGGACGGGGACTCGATGTGGCTTGGAGGTGCAGCAACATACGAAGCCTTTGCAGGAGGCTTTCAGGAGCTCACAGGGGCCAAATCGTTCTCTGTCTCCAAGGCTAACACAGCCGTCGTGGCAGCAGTGCCGGTGCCTTCGCTGGGATTGCCTTCACTCCCACCTCTTTGCAGTGCAGAGGAGCGCACTGTCACCATTTCAGATGAGACATGTGGAGGCAGTGACCTGCCCAGAGGAGCATAGAGGAGCACAGACCTCACAGACAGCGTGTGTGGAGCAGGGAGAGGGGAGGAGGTGGCTTCCCATCCCAAGGCTGTGCTTTATGAGAGCATCGCTGCAGCACTGCTCGGCTGCCTCTCGTGGGGGGCATGAAAGAACAACGGATGGTGTGGCTGCTGCCTTCCCAGCACATGGTGTGGGCAGTACGATGTTCCTCCAGTCTCAGACACAGCCCTTGCAGGTACAGGAATGTGGGGAATCACCTGATGTGAGACCTGGCCGGAGATCCTGCAGGCTGGGCTGGCTCTGCCCCGAAGTAATTACAGGACAAATGAAATAGGACATGGCCTGAAGGCTCGTGGTCATGGGAGGCTCAGTGCATCACAAGGCATCTCACAGCTTTCATGGAGGGAAGCATTGCCCCTCACAGTGCCAGGATGGGGCTGCATCTGGAGCCACAGCATCACCAGCAGCCTGCAGGCTGGGGAGCCCCGCAGCTCCTCTGCACACCAGGATGTTTTCAGACAGCTTCAAGCTGCCTGCAGAGCACATTTCTGGAAGAAGCTGGAAAGGTTCTGCCGCCCAGCATTCACAGGCAGATGGTCACAATGCTGTGCTTTGTGTGTGCCTGTCCAGGGGGGCTCAGCCCCCTGGGGGGCTGCACGGCCCCATTGCAGCCCCGAGCACACAGCCCTGCATGGAGCAGTGCCCCATCCCAATGCCACACACACACTGCAGCCCCAAGAGCAGCCACTGCTGTGCGGGCAGTGGGAGCTCAGGCTGCTGCGGCTGCAGCTCCCATCACCGGTGCGGAGAACGTTGTCTCAGAATACAAATTCCTGCCTTTAAGTGGATTCCCATTGCCATCCAGCAGGAACCCCCCCCTGTATCTTTATGTGCCTTAGACAACACTCGCTGCCAGGGGAATTTGGGAATTAGTGAGTGTCTTTCTGCGCCACGTGCCTCAGTTTCCCCACCCACAATACAGCCAGGATGATTTGGATCACAGCTATAAGCACACGAGCCGCACACCGTCCAGAAGCACTGGTTTCGACTGAAGCATTGTTACTGCAGATGGAAATGAACCCACTCATTATTTGTGGCCTCTGAGCACTACCATACTATTAAGCAATTATAATAATTATAATTCATCAAGAAGATAACCTCTGTCTAAAGGAATTCCCGTGTTTAAACCTGTTCTGCTGCTCCACATGCACTGGATGGATTCAGAGTGCAGCAGACACGACCCCCACCAGGAGCTGAGCGGGACCACCGGGCTGTGCCCACTGCTGCCTGGAGCCGCCTGCTGGGCTCACGGGGATGCAGGCAGTGCACAGCTTGCACCCAGCATTCCCAGTGGCCAGGAGGGCCCATCCCTGCAGGCCAGCAGAGCGGAGGGCCGTGGGCTGACACACCACTCTCTGCCCCGCCACGAGCACGCAGCCACTCACCACCCCCGTGCGGGCACAGCTGCACGGCCGGCTCTCAGCCGTCGCCCTGCGCATCCGCCTGCGCTCTGACCGAAACGACGGCTCCGTGCGGACCCTCCTGCTGACCCCCGCGGCCCTGCGAGGGGCTGCAGCCCCCGCTGCGGGAGGAGGGGAGCCGAGCAGCCCCGGAGCGCGGTGCCCTCACGTCTCACCCCGCCCGGCTGCTCACGCGAAGGCCTTGAGCTGAGCGCACGGCGCCGGGAGCTGCCGGGAGCAACGTGGGCTGCATCCCTCCCTCTGGCGCCGGCGGCCGTCCCCGCGTCAGCGCGGCGTGCGGTACCCGAAGTGACAGCCCCGGCATCGCGTGTGCGCGTGTCAAACACAGCCCGGCTCCGCTGACGGACGTGTCTGCTAACGAGGGGCAGCAGCGAGGCGGGCGCTGCCGGAGCCCTCCCTGCCCGTGTGCCCCCCGGGACCGTTCTGCCAGCGGCGGTGCCCCGCGCTCCGGACGGCAGCGAGGAGGGGCTGCGGCGCGGGGCAGAGCCCGGGGGGCTCCGGCGCTTCTCACGCGGCGGATCCCAGCGCCGCGGATTCGCCTCCCCCAAGCACACTCTACCGCCTCCGGCATGGCCGTGTGCCCCCGGAGACCCCCGCCCGGTGGCCCCGCGTCCCCCGCACTTCCTGGGGAGCTCCGGCGCGGCGGCGGAGCAGAGGAGCCCCGGGGTCCCTGACCCCAATGACACCCGGGGCTGCTCGGCGCCGAGCATCGCGCCGCTGCCTCGGGAAGAATCGGGCAACGCTGCCCGAGCACCGCAGCTCCCCCCGGGCATCCCGGCCCCGCGCCCCTCCGAGCACCGCGCATCCCGCGCCGCCCCTGGGTCCCGGTCTCGGTCCCGGCCCTGCGATTCCCGTAACGCTCCGGGGCTGCCGGCCCAGGGGTTCCCCGCACCGCCCCGGCCCCCGCGCGCTGTGGGGCCGATCCCCGCGGGGCTCAGCCCGTCCCGGCTCTGCCGCCCCTCCCCGGGCTCCGCGCTCCCAGCCCCGTACCTGGCGCTCGGCGGCGGCGGTGCAGGGCGGTGTGCGCGGAGCGCGGCCGGGGCGGAGCCGCGCGGGCTCGCCGGTACCGGGAGGAGGAGCCGGAGGGGCGGGGCGGCGACGTGCCCGCCCGCTGGCAGCAGCGGGGCTGGGAGATGCGGGGAGCCCCGCCGGACCCGCACCGAACACCGTCTGCACAGCACGCTGTCTGCCCAACCCGGGTGCGGGCAGAGCGCACCGGACGCGTCCTCGGTCCCGTCCCCGTGCGGCTCCCGCAGGTCGTGCCGCCGGACTTCGCTGTGTTGCCCCATTACTTCCAACCTCTCGGCCCGCCCGGGAACGCAGCCCTCAGCCCGGCCCAGCCCGGCAGCACGGAGCACCGGGAGCAGCGGGTGTTTGCACCGAGCGGGGCGGAGGGGAGCAGGAGGTGGGAAAGCGCCGTCGCGGAGCGGCCAAAAGGAGCTCGGCATCCCTCGGCCACCACAAAGCCTCTCCTGCTCCGAGCCTGCCCAGGCTGAGCTCAGCTGCACCCGGGCTGAGCGGCAGCTCCGGACGCTGCTGCGCTCGCGGTGGCTTTGCTGGGGAGCATTTGGGAGCTGAGTCCTTTCTGTCTGTGACCAGCGGTGGGTCTGCGGGCTGCTGCAAGGGTCAACGTGTTGTGCCGGGCTGCTGCTGGGTCCGTTCCCCATGCACACACCATCTGCCAGCTGAACATCTGTATGTGCAGCAGCATCCGGCTGTGGCTCACCAGTAATGTAATTTAAATGTAAATACAGCTTCCCCTGAACAAGGTGTAGCAGGCCGTGCAGGGAGTTCACCTGGATCTAATTCCAGCTGCTACCAGAACAGCTGCTTTCAGATGGCTGAGCTGATCTCATCACATCCTCGGCACATGCTGCCTTGCAGAGAAGTTTCCTCCTGCTCTTCCTCCTTGCTGTCATGGGGCTGTGCTGGTTTGGGCCACCCTTCTCTCCACGCTGGTGGTGGGTAACATCCACGCTGTTGGATGCATGAGAAATTCTCCCAGACCTCTATGAAGGTGTGAACTGCTGCTGCTCCCCAGTGCACAGCGCGGTCGCACAGCCCAGCACGCACTGTGGCACTGCACAAGTGGATGCTCAGGAATGTGGGTGGATTTGTGGCAACCCCTGCTTCACAGTGCTTCACTAGTGCTTGCTCTGGAGCAGGCCTTTCTGGGATGATGGCCATGCATGTCGAGCAGAGCTCATCCCCAGCTCTGCCGCCTGCCTGTGCAGCTCCACATGCAGCTGCTGTGGCTGTGCTGTGTGCTGTCCTTCAGCTTCAGGTCTGCAGCTTCACATTGATGATAATTGGACTGGCATTCACAGGGTCGTCATTCATCTGCTTCTCACGAGATCCTTGCTGAGCTGCCTTTATCCCCAGCTCCAGCTGCTCCTGTCCCAGGGCTGTCGGTAGCACTGATGTGTCCACAGGCAGCCCAGGCCCTGCCCAGCCCGCACACAGAGGTGCATCCTGGGCACCTGGGCTGCTTTATGTTTCCCCTGCTCTCCTGGTGGTCTGTGGCACCCTGCAGCCAAATGCCCTGAGCTCAGACCTGAGGCTGAGCAGTGCCTGTTGGCCGGGAGCGCCGACCCTGCAGCTCTCAGGCTTCAGATGCTCAGCGCCCATCGGGGAGTTTCCAAGAGCTTTGTCCCATCACCAAAGCTTCCTCTTAACAAGTTAATATTCAAAGCACTTCAAAGTCTGCTGCAGACTCACATTTTATGTTAGAAGCATCATCAATAATGGGCTGCGCTAACAGGCTAAAGGGGAGATGAAAGAGAGGGGTGAGCAGCAGGTGGTCACTGCTCCTCCAGCTGCTCCTCTCCTGTTCCACGAACAATGCAGACCTGAGATTAGCATAGCTGGTCCTGCTGTGCAGAATGGGAGTCCTGGTCAGCGCGCTGCGTCTGCCCTGCTTGCCTTGGTACAGAGCCACAGGCACACAGGGCAGGGCTGGAGCTGATGGCTCAGACTGGGACTCTTATTAAAGGCAGCCTGGATACATTGGCCTCCAGAAAGAAGCTGTGAGCCATTTCCATGATACACTTACAGCCACATATTACTTAAATTATCTTAAAATTCACAGGTTTTGTGCTAGCAAGTGTTGTGCTTCTGTTCATGTTCCCTGCTGCAGTGTGGTGGGTCTCACCTCTGTTCCACCCCAGAAGCAGAGAAGGAGCAGAGCACAGGCAGAGCTCAGGAGAGCTGGGGAGCAGGCAGGGCTACCAGGGCAGCAGAGCCTCGGGGGGCTGGGACACGGCCCTCCTGGTGCCAGCCCTGCAGCCCCTGACCCAGCCGCTCTCTGCCAGAGTCACTACGTGGCGTGCATGGCCGCCATCCTGAGCCAGATGGATGCAGACCATTACCACTCCTACATCCAGGCCTTCCCCTCCCGGCCTGAGCTGATGGTGAGTGCCCCCCCTGTGCAGTGAGAGCAGCCACCTGGCCCTCGTGTCACCACCCCACTGCCGGCACCTCCTGCACCCCTGGGTGCTCCCAGCCCTGGTGCTCAGCACAGCACTGCACCAGGAGGGCTCCACAGCTGTGTCCCAGCCCCTGACATCCCCTCCTCACAGGACTTCCTCATGGAGACTTTCATCCTCTTCAAGGACCTCATTGGCAAGACAGTGTACCCCCCCGACTGGATGGTGATGAACATGGTGCAGAACCGGTGAGGAGCCCCGAGCTGGGAGGGACCCAGAGTGGGGTCTGGGGCCACAGCCTGGGACACCTGGCCCCGTGTGGGCAGAGGGATGAGGGGTCGTGGGGCTGTGAGCAGGAGCACGCTGTGAGCTCCAGCCCCAGAGCCCCAGCCCTCACCTTGCCATGACGGGGGCTGCCAGCCTTGCTCCCCCTCTGCTGTGGGCTGTGGGCCGTGGGCTGGCTGTGCCCTCTGCTCAGCACCACACCATCCTGCAGGGAGTTCCTGCGTGCCATCAACCAGTTTGCCACCACCCTGACAGAGATGTTCCTGAGCAGCAGCAGCTTCGAACTGCAGGTGAGGGGACACCGGCCCGGCCCTGACAGGGTGGCAGGGATGTGCCAGACGCTGCGTCACGCTGCCTGCCATTTGTCCCTCTGTTCTCACCGCAGCTTTGGAACAACTATTTCCACCTGGCCGTGGCTTTCCTCACCCAGGACTCCCTGCAGCTGGAGAACTTCTCACAGGCCAAGCGCACTGCCATCCTGGCCAAGTGAGTGGCCCCTCTCAGCTCAGGGCTCCGGCCCCAGCCCCAGCCGTGCTTGCAGATGGGGATTCTGGGATGTGCTGTGCTGGGCTCCTGGCCTGGGAGCTGCGCCGTGGGCTGTGCCCGTGGAGTGATGCTAAACCGACACCATCCTGGCAGGTATGGGGACATGAGAGCCAAGATTGGAGCAGCCATCCGGGACATGTGGTACAACCTAGGTGAGCTGTGCTGTTACCAGCAAGGAGGAGGCTTGGAGAGTGCCTGCAGCCTGGTGTCCATCAGCACTGGCCCCAGAATGGGTGCTGGGGACTGAGAGATTACTGGTGCGGGGCACGGGAGCCTGTGGGTGTGTCCCCTGTGGGTGTGTCCCCTGTGGGTGTGTCCCCTGTGGTGTGTGCACCATGTGGTGTGTGCACCATGTGAGATGCTGTGGGATGTGCTAACCCATGGTGCTGAGCTTGCTATTCCAGCTGCAGCCTCCCCTCTGCCCAGCATGCAGCGCTGGGCATGGACTGGGGAAGCGCTGCTGAAGCTCCAAAGGGCTTGCAGACCTCTGCTGCCACCACTCCTCAGCCTCTTGCACGCATTGCTGCCTGTTCCCGTGTGTCCCAGCCTTCTCTGCTGTCCCCAGGCCACCACAAGATCGAGTTCATCCCAGGCATGGTGGGCCCCATCCTGGAGATGACCCTTGTGCCGGAGCTGGAGCTGCGCAAGTCCACCATCCCCATCTTCTTTGATATGATGCTCTGCGAGTACCAGCTGACCGCCAGCTTCAGCCGGGTGAGCACCAGCACCGGGCTGGGGAGGGAGGTGCCTGACATCTGCCTGTCATGGGGTGACCACCCCTATTGTGTGGGGGGAGGCACTCCTTCTTGTGAGAGGGACGAGGGACGGAGATGAGGGACAGTGATGAGGGATGGTGATCTGGTGAGGCCATGGAGTAGGAGGGAGTCTCGGAGCAATGCCAAGCATTTCCCAGGGACCAGCAGGCTGCACACACAGCAGATCCCAGCACTGGCTGAAAACAGCACAGTGATAGGGGAGAGGTCTGTACAATCGTCCTACATTGCCACTCTCTTCCCAAGCTGCTTTCCTCGTGCAAAAGGCTTTTCCACTCCATGGAAAGAAGGAGTAGAAGAAGGGCTGGGATCTCTCAGAGCCATGGGGACCCAGCTGCTGCTGGATCTTTGCCCCTTGTCCACACTGGACACTGCAGCTTAGAGGACCCAAGAGCTTTGCAGGTGGCATCTCCACACCATTCCATGCAGCCCAGGCTGGGGAGATGCTGACCATCACTCAGGGGATGTGCAGACCCAGAGGACTCAGTGTGGAGCTGAGGGGCACTGGGCATCAGACGTGGCCCAGAATCCACATGTCCTGTGCTGCACACATTGCAGGACCTGCCAGGCTTTGTGGTCCATCTGGTACACCTAGAGCACAAACCTCATGGATCCGAGCATCAGCTGGGAGGTGGGAGGGTCCCGGGCAGGCACAGGTGGCTTTAAGAGACACATAGCACAGCCCAGTGATCCCTGGGCCAGCCGGGCTGCCTGGGCTGCAGGACACAGCCCTTCCTGCAGAAGCTGCATCAGTCATCTGGGCTGCTGGGAGATGGCAACGCAGCAGGAGCAGAACGGGGAGCTGAGGAGCAATGGGGGATGTGTCTGGGCAGGGGAATGGGAGTATCCAGGTGCTGTGGGAGGATGGTCTGCAGGAGCACAGCCCAGGCTGCTGCTGGGGCTGCCATCAGCCTTCCTGCAGTGCCTGTTGCCCTGTGTCCCACGGAACTGTGGCCATGGCAGCCTGGGGCTGAGCTCTGCACATCCTCAGCTGTGCTCACGTTCATCTCTTTGCAGTTTGAGGATGAGATCCTGCGCAAGCTAGACAGTGAGGTGGAGGGCGGCCGGGGCGACGAGCAGTACAAGCAGCTTTTTGAAAGCATGTGAGCGTGCAGTGCAACACCGTTCCCTTCCTCTGGGCATCACCCCTGCTTTGTGCCCCGCCCCTGCAGAGCCAAATCTCTGCCATCCTACTCCTTCCTGCTGTGCTCCGGCCCAGAGCACAGCTCCCGAGGGTGGGTGTGACAGGAAGGGGCTGTGCCCAGGGAGCCCTGGGTGCCCCACGCTGCCCATCACAGCCCGGTCTGTGCCTCACGCCTGCTGGAGAGCAGCACAGGGGCTGCTCTCACTGCTGGCCTGGTGCTGCTTTTTGTCCTTTGCTGGGTGATCTGGGTCCCACACCTCAGGGCAGCTGAGCTGGGTCGGTGTGGAGCCCAGCGTGCAGCCCACGGTCCCTCTGCTCCGCAGTCTGCTCAGCTGCTGCCGGGCACACCCCGAGCTGTCCCAGCCTGGGGAGAGCTTTGTGGCGTTGGTGACGGGGCTGCTGGAGCGGCTCCTCGACTACCGGGCGGTGATGAATGATGAGAACAAAACCTACAGCATGAGCTGCACTGTCAACCTCCTGGTGAGTGTCTGCACCACGTCCCCCATCTGCGGGGCCTGCAGCATCCCCACGCAGCTGCCCAGCAGCCCTGTGCCCGTGTGGGACGGGTCCTGGTGGCAGCAGGGGGATGGGGGGGGCTGCAGGATAAGCCCCTTCCTGGAGCTGCCTCAATGCTTGCTCCTCCCCAGAACTTCTACAAAGAGATCGACCGCCAGGCCATGTACATCAGGTGAGTCCTGCCTCATTGAGACCCCCGCACCGTCAGCACGCCCAGGCCGTGCTGTGGTCCCAGCCCAGCATGGGAAGGCGCCAGCACCATCCAGGAGGGTCCCCAGCCCTGAGCTGCCCCCCACCCCACCTGCTGTGACCCTGCGTGGGGCGGGGATGGGGGAGCAGACAGGGGGTATGGTGCCAGATCCCCCCTAGCACCACATCCAGCAATCCCTGCCCTGCCCCCCAGGTACCTGTACAAGCTGAAGGACCTGCACATCAGCTATGAGAACTACACAGAGGGTGCCTACACACTGCTGCTGCACGCACGGCTCCTCAAGGTGAGGCACAGCAGGGGGGCGGGGGGCACAGTGCACTCCATGGCTCAGTGTGATGCATGGCATTCCTGCTGCCCCACACAGTGGTCCGACGAGGCAAACACAGCACCCATGCAGGGCCTGCACAGCCCCAGCCTGCACACCCAGCGCCAGCTGAAGGAGGCTCTGTACAACCAGATCGTCAACTACTTTGATCAAGGCAAGGTGAGCACAGCCCCGTGCAGCACAGACCATAGGACCAGCTCCCCCCACCTCTGCCTTCCGCTCCGAGCCCCCACCTTGGCACCACTCACCATCCCCATTGCTATGATGGGGTCAGAGTTGTTCTGTGCCGGGCAGGGTGCTGAGATCCTGTGCTGAGCAGTTAATCCCTGCAGCCACTACAACTCCCAGTTGCCCGTTCTGCCCCTACTTCTGGGGAGATGCAGGGAGCTTGAACACCCCAGAGAGAGGCTGGGCTGTGGAGGCCTGGCAGGGGCTGCGTGGCTGCAGACAGTAGGCAGTGAACCCTGCTGCAGCCCTCCAAGGGCCCGTCCTGCTCCTCGCACAGGAGTGAGGCTGCAGGAGCCCTGCAGGAGGGGCAGGGTCCCCTGGGGGCACCCAGCCCCCTTCCTGCCCTGCTCACCCTGCACTGTGCAGATGTGGGAGGAGGCCATCCATATCTGCAAGGAGCTGGCAGAGCAGTACGAGAGTGAGATCTTTGACTATGAGATGCTGAGCGAGATCCTGGTGAGTGCCAGCCAGTCTGGGCTGGGTAGTGGGGCAGAGTGGGGGCTGAAGGCACTGCACGGTGCACTGTGAGCCATGGGGCAGAGCGGGGTCTGCGTGGCTCCTGCCCTTTCCAGCGTGTCACCTCCCCCTGCAGCAGCGAGAAGCCAAGTTCTATGAGAAGATCCTGAAGGTGCTGCGTCCCAGCCCAGACTACTTCGCCGTTGGCTACTACGGGCAAGGCTTCCCCACCTTCCTGCGGGTGAGAGGCTCCTGTTGCTGCCTGCAGCCCACGCTGCTCCTGTGCTGCTGTGCTGCACCCTGCGCAGCTCTGCCCGGAACCTGTGACCATCTCAGGGCAACTCCTGTGAGCGGAGCCTGTCCTTCCTCCTTGCCTGGATGGGGTCTCCATGGCCTGAGTGCTCCAGCCCTGGTGGGGAGAGTTGTTGGAGGTTGGACAGCAGGCAGGATGGGGCAGCCCTGAGGGATGGGGCAATGGGGACCTGGTAGGAACCACCCCAATCTGCCTTTGGGTGCAGCACTTATGGAAGGAAAACACAGAAACTGGTGATTCCCTATAAAAAATGATGGAGAGGATACGAGGTGGTGCTCCTGCACACAGGGATGTGGTGTCTGCAGGCCTCCTGACCCTGAGCACTGGGCTGTGCTCTACCTGCAGTGCACGGCTGCAGCTATGCTGCTCCGTGGCTGCACCGCGTCCCACTTGGGATGCAGAGCCGGATGGATGCCGTGCCCTGCAGGAATGTGTTTGTGCTGACTGTGCTACCTATGAATGCATTTGGGAATCTCCTGGAACTTCTCTTCAGTGCCCCGCAGTTCGCTGCCCGTTAATTTATCTATCTTCCTGTTGTTGGGCTCAGGGAAGGCTTTTCCAAGGGGTTCCCCCTCAGTTGGCACCTCAGTCCGCCACGACCCCCGCGGCACGCAGAGCCCAGCGCAGGGCTCACAGCGCACTGCGATGCGCCGCCCCTTCCTCCCGCAGAACAAAGTCTTCATCTACCGCGGCAAAGAGTACGAACGCCGGGAGGACTTCGAGATGCGGCTGCTGAGCCCCTTCCCCAATGCTGAGAAGCTGCAGACAACGTCCCCACCCGGCCCCGACATCACGGAATCCCCGGGGCAGTGTATCCTTGCAGCGTGGGGATGGGCAGGGCCGGGGGGGTTCCCTGACCCCGTGGGTCCCACACAGCAACAGCCTGGGGCCCCGCTCCCCCAGCAGCCCCGCGGTGTGTGCCCGAGGCTCCTTCACTCCCGCAGACATACAGTGCTTCACTGTGCAGCCGGTGGAGGAGTCCAGGATCCGACTCAGGGACCGCAGCATCCCGGAGCAGATCACCAAGTGTGTGCCTGCGGTGATGGGTGCACTGCTGGGTGTGGGGCTGTGTCTCCTCTGCATGCAGCCCATCCTCTGCCCTTTCCCTCTTGCAGTTTCTACAAAGCCAATCATGTCCAGAAGTTCAGCTACTCACGGCCCTTCAAGAAAGGCCCAAAGGATCCAGAGAATGAATTTGCAGTGAGTGCTGATGGGGACCCAGGGATGGGGTGGGCAGAGCTGCAGGGTCCTGTGGAGCACCGGGTCTGCAGAGGAGGGCAATGCAGAGAGACTCGTCTGGGTGCTGGGGTGGGAAAGGCAGCACTACTGCTCACGGGCAGGGGAAGTGGGATGCTGGGGTGATGGGAGCTGTGGGACTGATGGTGTCCTGCCTGCAGAACATGTGGATCGAGCGGACCACCTTCGTGACAGCCTACCCACTGCCCGGCATCCTGCGCTGGTTTGCAGTGACCTCCACCACCACGGTGAGGAGAGGGTGAGGGGGAGGGGGGCTCTGCTGGTACCCGGTCCTGGGCTGCCCCTGCCCACCCAGCAGCTATGTGTGTGGGTCCTACACCACAGTCAGAGGGGGGGTTTGGGCATAGCTGAGTGTCTGGGTGCTGCAGCAGTGCAGGAGGTGGGTGATGCACTGCTTTGGTGACAGTTGTGCTGCAGAGCACTGTACAGCAGCACTCACACACGTGCCTGCACCTGGACCATGCGTGCTGCTGCTGCACGGCTGCTCCTGCAGTGCAGTGACATTTACTTAGCTTCCCACAAGCTCTGCACTGTACTGCTGCTGTCACACAGCTGCATGAGTCTGTGGTCCCTCGTGCATGGCATTGACCTTGCAAGCAGCCCGGAGTCAGGGAGCAGAACAATACATCAACTCAGCTCCAGGCAGATGTCTCATGGGTTCAAGGGGCTCCATAGGGGTCCTGGGCACTGGGGATGGGGAGAAATCACCCACTGGCCCCAAGCAGAATGGACAGTGCTCTTTGCCAAGCAGCTGCTAACCTCCCTCCCTTGGCACAGACCACCATCTCCCCCCTGGAGAACGCCATAGAGACCATGATGAAAACAAATGAGAAGATTCTGAGTGAGATCAACCGGCACCAGAATGACCCCGGCCTGCCCATCAACCCCCTCTCCATGCTGCTCAATGGCATTGTGGACCCCGCCGTCATGGGCGGCTTCGCCAAGTACGAGATGGTGAGGAAGTGCTGCACCAGGGCTGGGACTCAGCACAGGGAGCAGACTGACGGGCAGCGCTCCTTTCCCTGCCCGATCCATGCCAGCCATCAGGGCACTGAGCAGCTCGCTGCAGGCTTTCTTCCAGGAGCCGTACCTGGAGGAGCACCCCGAGGACCGGGGCAACATCGAGAGGCTGAAGGACCTGATTGCCTGGCAGGTACTGCTCACAGCCCCGTGGGGAGCCCCTGACCCCTGCAGCCCATGGAGAGCCTGGGCAGCTCCATCCCGCCCTCCTGCAGATCCCACTACTGTCAGAGGGAATCCGGATCCACGGACAGAAGGTGACGGAGGATCTGCGGCCCTTCCATGAGCGCATGGAGCAGTGCTTCGTGCAGCTGCGGGCCAAGGTGGAGAGCCAGTATGGGGTGCGGGAGATGGTGAGTACTGAGTCAGGAGCAGGGCAGGTCAGTGCGTGTGGGAGCTCAGGGTCCCTGCTTGACCCTGCTGTGGGGTGGTGGCACCTGGCCAGGACGGGCAGGGAGGGCACTGCTGACTGAGCAGAAGGGAGCAGAGGGGCACTCGATGCCTTCACCCTTCCTGGCTCCTCCTCCCCCTGTTCTCCCAGATCTCCTTTGAGGACCGGCGGAGCGGACGACCCCGGTCTGTGACCTGGGGACCAGACTGGGAGCGGCTGAGCCACGCCAGAGACAGGCGAGTGCGGCAGGGGAGGCATCACCTCATCCCCACACCCTCTTTCCCCTGTGCCCTGTGCACTGCCCTCCCACCTGCCCCATTCCGATGCCCTCAGTTTCCCTCTTCGGTGTTTTACACCAAGCCCCAACTCTGCATCCATTCTGCCATCTGCCACGGCGGCCCAGTCCAGTGGGAGGACACGGAGCAGACACCCACGTGCAGCCCCGGCGCTGCAGTCACCTGAACCACTTACACCCGTTCTGCGGGGTCCCCGCTGAGCTTTGCCGTCGGCTCTGCCCGCTGCGCGGCACAGCTCTGCTCCCCACCCCTCACCAGTTGCAGTTGCTCTGCAGCATGGAGGCATGCCCGATCCCGAAGCCCACCCCACGGAGCGCCGAGGGCGAGCGCAGAGAGAGCCGCTCCAGCACGTTCTTCTCGTACCGCCGGCCGGAGCCGCGCCAGTCCACCTCGGAGCTGCCGGAGCCAAAGGTGATGCGGTGATGCCATCCGCACAGCCCTCTGCTCGCCGTCGCCGGCCGACGGTGAAGAACGGCGCTGGGGCTCGGGGGGCACAAAGCTCGGAGCTGGAGAGCATCGCGACCCGCATCGCTTCTGGGGCTTGCAGCCCGGCTGAGCCGCCCCGGGATCTGACGCCTTTTCCCTGCCCCAGGATGACAGGCGGAGGCACTCCTGCAGCGTGAGTGAGAGCGGCCCGGGCAGCCCCGACGGGAAGCAGCCGCCCCAGAGCCGCGACTCGGGGGGCGCTCAGCCCGGCCCCGCAGGTACCGGCAGCCCCCCCAGCCCCGCACCTCCCAGCACCGCGCGGGATGCGCTGCCCGCCCTGACCCGATCCCTCCGCGCAGTGCCGTCCCCCACCGGGTTCTGCGGCCGCGTGAAGAGCGCCAGCAAAGCCCCACCGCTGCCGCGCCGGATCAGCCCCGCGGTGTACGAGACCTTCCTGGAGGGGAGCGATGCTGCGCACGGGGGAAAGGTACCACCCGGCCCGGCCGCCCTCCGCTCGCGTAGCCGTCCGTCTGTAACCGTCCGTCTGTCCGCAGGCACTGCCGTCGCTCGCAGATGGGAGCAAAGCGCTGAAGTCACCTCCGCCGCCGCCCCCGAAGTCCAAACGGCTGTCCCAGCTCTGAACACACGGACGGGAGCGACGGGCCGCAGCTCGAGCGGCTCCCGGGCAAATCCCCCCCCGCAGCTCCTGCACAGCCGCGGACTCCCGAGCGCTGCGGAGCTCCGCCGTCCCGCGGGCGTCGGCCGTGACCGCCCGCTGCCCCCCGCACTGCAGCGCTCCGGATCGCAGCCCCCCGCCCGCCCGTCGCTGCGGCCCCCCGTGGCCGATGGGACCGTCACCCTCACTGCCGGCGCAGTATGACAGTGGTCCGTGCCCGCCCCGAGCCCTTTCCCCGCTCCTGCTCCCTCCCGGTCCCCCCATCCCGCAGCCGCCCCCGGCCCGAGCCCCGCACGGGATCCGTCCGGGCTGTGAGCGCAGGCGGGCAGCGCCGCGCGTTGTGCGGTGTTCGCTCCCGCAGCTCTCCGGCTTCCCAGCCGCCCCGCATCGCCCAATAAAGGAGCACCGCAGCAGCCGTCGGTGCGGCGGGGTCGGTCGGTCGGTCGGACGCTCAGCGCTCGCCCCGGTCCGGGCGGCGGGCACAGCTCCGCACTGCGGGTCCCGGCGGGCACCGCCGGCGCTGACCGCACGCGGCTCCGCTCTTTATTTCCACGCGGCCCCGCGGGTTCAGGGCCGTACGTACAGTCCGCCGTGATAACGGGAGGAGCCCGGCGGGACGGGGGGGGTGGGCGGAGCGGGGGCCGCGAGCGGCGGTGGGCTCCGGTGGGGCGAGGAAAGGACGGGGGGAGACGGCGCTGCGCGCCACAGCCGCGGGCAGACGGCTGCACCGAGCACCGGGCTGACCCCGCAGAGCGGGACGGAGGCCGCTCCCCGCCGGGCCCGGCGCTCACAGCGGGTTCGCCGAGGAGGCCGCCAACCGCTTCCCGATGTAGATCCTGGAGGGCAGAGAGGCGGCGTCGGACCGCGCGGAGGCAGCTCGCTGCGAACGCCGAGCACGGCGGACCCGCAGGAGTCCCGCAGTCACTCACCCCAGCCCCAGGGTCAGCGCGTGGCTGAGCAGCAGCGGGGGGATGACGAGCAGCAGCAGCTCGGAGCTGAAGAGCCGCTTCTTCCTCAGCACCGCGCCGTCCCGCAGCGCCCACCGCACCGGCGGGGTGGGACACGCGAAGGGGAGGTGGTCCCTGCGGGGAGCGGGGTTAAGGCCGGGGCGAGGGGCTGGCGGGGGGGCGCGGGGGGCGCGGGCGGCTCACTTCGCACAGCGGTGCTCGGCGCAGCGGGCGCAGCTCCGGCTGAGCGCTGCGGGCGGACGGCGCTCGGTCCGCTCGGCGTCTTGCGGGGCGTCCCGCGGCGCGGGCGGCTCCGGGTGCGACTTCGGCGCTTCCTCCCGTCCCGGCGGGGTCTGCGGGCGGCCCGGGGGGGGCGGGAGCCGCCCGCTCACCTTCGCGGCGCTTTCCTCGTCCCGGGCCGGGGAGCCGCGCGCCGGCAGCGTCCTGAGAACAGCCCCGCGTCGGCGCACGGCACGGCAGGGCGCGGTGCGGGGACGCTGCGGGACTCACCACCCGTCGGCGCCGTCCGGCTCCAGCTGCGCGTCCAGCAGCATCCGCTCCACGTCGGCGTGGCACGAGAACGGCGCGGGGTCGCAGCGCAGCTCCACCCAGGAGCCTGCGGGTGGCCGTCAGCCCCGCACCGCCCGGGAGCGCTACCGGAGACCCCGGCCCCTCCGCCCCCCGCGGCTCCCGGTGCCCCCCGGCCCGCTCGGCCCCCGCCGCACGCCGAGTCCCCCTCCCCTTTCTCCTCCCCCCCCGCCCCGCACACCGTCGTCGCCGCCGCCCGCCATGGCCCCGCGCTTCCCGCCGCTCTCAGCCCCCGCCCGGTGCCGCGGTTCCTCCAGTCACGTGACAGCCGCGAGCCCCCATGTAAATAAAACCGCCGGCACCGGCGGCCCGCGCCTTAAAAGGGCACCGGCCCCTCCCGCCGGGACCGCGCGCCGACGCCCGCCGCTCCCGCCCCTCGGCAGACGCGGGCGGCGCTCCGCGCTCGCGTCGCCCCTTTAAGCGACGCCTACGTGCGGACAGCGGGCGGGCGGCGGCCGCGGCGCGTGCAGAGCCGCACGGAGCAGCGCGGCCCCGCCCCGCCCCCCCCCGGACACCGCCGTTTGCTTCCAGCGCCGTTTATTGCCGCTCCGCCGCTCCCGGCCGCGCCGCCCCAGCCCCGCGCCGCCGCCGGTGCCGCTCCGCTCCGCTCCGGTCGCTCAGGGGCTGCCCCCGGCCCGCGCCGCGCCGTGCTTCTCGGCGAACCTCCTGCGGAGAGACGGGCAGACGGTACCGCACGGCACGGCGCGGCCGCGGCGGGACCCCGGCGGGGACGGCCGCGGAGCCGCAGCGCCGGAAGCAGCGAACGGACGGAGCCCGGAAAGCGCAGCCCCCCCACCGGCCCCGTCTGCGCTCGGCGGCCCCAACGCGGGCTGCGTGAAAGCCGGCGCTCGGGGCGCCCTGCCGAGCACGGGGCTGCGCGGAGCCGGAAGAAACCTCCTCGGGTTCCGCTGCCGCCGCGGCGACCAGCGGAGCCCCGCGCCCCTCCGGATCCGCACCGCGAGGAGCGGAGCCCAGGAAACAGACGGGGAGCGGCGGGCCGAGGGCGGCACAAATGGGGTGGGAAGTCCCCGGAAAGGCCTGGCAGCCCTGCGGCCCTTCCCTCTGCTGAACGGACCCCAGCGCCGGGCCCAGCATCTCCACCCGCGTCAAAAGGCATCGGTGCAGCGGAGGCAAAGGGAAGGTGGGGGAAAACGTGGGTGTGGGAGCTTTGTTCTGGCAGCGAGATGGGCCTGCAGGCACCCCGAGTCCCTAAGGGTGAAAGGCTGGAGCTGAGATGGACTCGGGGATCAGGTCAGGCAGTGCTTGAGCTGATGGCCCCAATGGGGAGGGAACTGCACGACGTGGGTGAGGCTGCTCTGTGAGCTCTGCTTGGGAGAGGTGCCCAAAGGAAGCAAACGTCCCTCCTGTGCTCAGTTAGGGCAAGGAGGAGGCTGAAGGAAGCAGGGCAGTCAGCCTCACCTCCATCTCTGCCCCCATCCCGCATGCCACTTCCAAACACGTGGGGGAAAAGGGGTCATCAGGAGCAGTTAGCTGGATCACCAAGGGCAAATCATCACTGACTGACCTGACAAAGTGCAGTGAAACGACCAGCCTGGCTCTGACACTGCTGGAGTGGGGGTGCATGGGCAGTGAGGGGGATCAAACACCACCTGCTTGGCTGAGCCCAGAGGTGGCAGCCAGGGGTGAGAGGAGAAGCCCAGGGGTCAACAAGGGGTCCAGCCCTGCCTGACATCTGTGTTAACAATCTGGACAGTGGCACAGACTGCATCGTCAGGAAGTTTGCAGGTGACACAAAGCTGGGGTAAGCAGCGGATACAGCAGTGTCACACTGCCACAGGAACCCGGCCTGACAGGCTGGAAGAACTGCAGGAACCTCACGCAGTTCAGCAAAAGTGCAGAGCCCTGCATGTGGGAAGGAGCAGCCGCAGCACTGTGCTGGAGGCACAGACCTGCATAATGCAAAGCACTGCCAGCAGGTGAAGGGAGGTAATTCTGCCCACTTTATTCAGCACCAGATAGGCCATCAGGGATGCTGGGTTCAGTTCTAGGCTCCCCAAAGCAAGAAACAATGACAGAGTCAGGGCCGCAAAGGTAGTGAAAGGACTGGAGCTTAATTCCTATAAGGAAAGGCTGAGAGGGCTGGGGCCATTCCTCTGGGAAAGGGAAGGCTGAAGGGAAAGCTCATCACAGTATCACAGAATCACAGAACGGCCTGGGTTGCAAAGGACCACAATGACCATCAGTTCCAACCCCCTGCTGTGTGCAGGTCGCCAACCAGCAGCCCAGGCTGCCCAGAGCCACATCCAGCCTGGCCTTGAATGCCTGCAGGGATGGGGCATCCACAGCCTCCTTGGGCAACCTGTTCCAGTGCCTCACCACCCTCTGAGTGAAAAACTTCCTTCTCATATCCAACCTAAACCTCCCCTGTTTCAGTTTAAAACTATTCCTCCTTATCCCATCACTAACAACCCCTGTAAGCAGTCCTTCCCCCTCCTGTTTACGTGCTCCCTTCAAGTACTGTAAGTGTTGCATCAATGTCAATAAATACCTGAGAGGTGGCACAAGGAGGACAGAGCCAGGCTCTTCTCCTTGGTGCCCAGTGCCAGGCTTAGGGGCTCAGGGCTGCACCTGAGCTTAGCACCAGATAGCTTTTCCCACTCACTGTAAGACTCCTGCAAAGGGTGGGGACTCCACTTTGTAGCAGTTCTGTGCCACTTTGGACTGAACCAAAGCCTCTGTTATCTCTGCCATCTTCTAAGGAGTCAGCCAGGCTCACCTCCAGACACACAGGCACCACGAAAACATCAGTTCCTTTGGAAACTTATTCCACTGAATAAATAGATTTCCTCTACAGAAATAAGCCTACAACTTCTAACCATTAGTTACTATTCTGCATTTCTTTGACAGACTGAAAAGCCTGATTCCTGCACCCAGAAAAATAATTACATACAGCGAGCCACCTCATTAAGTTTAACAGACTTCACTTCCTCTCCTATTATTTTGTGGCTCCTCTCCAAATTCATCCTGAATTTTCAGCTTCTAAAAAAAAAAAAAAAAAGAAAAAAGCACCGCATGCCAGAACTGGACACTCGCTCCAATATTTGCATCATCCAAACTGCACACAGAGGTCAAAGTCGCTCCCTGTTCCCTGTTAGCATTCTCCTCTTTCACTGAGGAAGATTAATAGCAGCATCCCTTTGCCAAACGGCAAAGTCTCTCTTCTAAAATGAGTGTTCCACAGCATCCATACGTATTTCAAAGATGTCTATAGTCTCACAATGACTTCTATCAGTCAAATCCATTATACCAAAGAACAAAACCACTTTTTTTGCTAAGCTCTATCCCACAGAAATTGTGGTTCTGGCAAACAGCTTCTATCTCACTTAGTCCTCACAAACAGAAACCCGGCAACAGCTCAAGGCAAACAGATTTCCAAGATGACAACAGGCTGCATGCTTGGGAGAGGTGAAGCAGAAAAGCATGGGCAATGTATGGGGCAGACCGTGCTGGGATGGGGACTGGGGCTGCACTCACCTCCTGGCGTAGTCGTACAGCGCGCGCTTCCTCTCCTGCAGGGACAGGTGCCGTTCCACGGGGGACTTGGCAAACTGCTTTGTAGCTGGCTGGAACAGAAAGCACAAAAGTCAACTGGAAACAAAGCCAGAAAACCTCCTTATAGGTCCTGTAAGCATCCAGCATGCCGATTTAATCTCCAGTTTAAAGCGCTCGGTTCCCCTGACGTGGCTAGTCCCAAATACAGGCCATCATGCTCTGTCTGCGAGCCATCAGTGCAGGGGAGATATTAAAACTCTCGAAGTACCTTGGAAGAAGGCAAAGCCACGGAGCCCTGGATGCCAGAACCTGATGCAGCCCAGGAGGTAGATGGAGCAGGCAGGTCAGTACCAGCCTCACTTTCAG